GTTATGAAATAGTTATCTAGAAACTCCAAAAGCGTAATCCAGACTGAACGCTGCAGGAGTGCAGAGCAGGGACAGGTGTATCAAATGCCCACAGGAAGGCAGGTGTCCCCAACATCCTGCAGAGGGCTGGTGGCTGGAAGGGGCTTTCTGCTTTGGTGGGAAGGGAATGTCTGGGACACCCCCACACACAGCATCATGGGAAGTATCCTGACCTACCTGGCAGAGGACCCAACCTCTGCCAACACACCAAATGTGCCCGTGACTCTGCTTGTGTCTCAGGTTATGTCACCCTCACCGTACTGGGTGCCTCAGCAAGGGAAATCGTGATAACCTACCTCTAAGTAGAAGGCATTTAAAAAGGAGTTGGAAAAATTATGGCAGGATCTTCACTGTTAATCTAAGTGGCAGGGAAAGGGGCACTTGGTAGGAAAATGAGGTGTTTGTTGTATTTTCCAGTATATTATAGCAAGGAAAGTACATATGGTGAGAAAGTCCATTGAAACACACTTTTCAAAAGAACCATGAAAGCAGAACATCACCCTGAGGCCTTGGCACGTCTCGTCTCCGAGTGGAACTGGACCCAGAGCCTTCAAGGTGCTGCAGCCCTGACAGGCTGTTTGCAGGGAGCCCAGCGTTGAAGCTTCCCCAGGACTGCCGAGCCCTGGCCGCACCTCAGACATCGCCCTGTCCCGGTGGTGCCAGGTGGGAGGGTGGAGATGGGAAAAGCTGACACTTATTTTCTGGGAAGCCTGCTGTCAACCCTGCAGGTCAGAGACCAGACACTGACAGGATCCATCCCAGCCAGCTCCGAGAGCTGGCAAAAGACTTTGGCACCCCCTTCTCCCTGTGGCCCATGCCTCATGCTTGCTCTACCAGTTCTCCCTTCTCTGTCAGAATCCTCAGCTGTGACTGGTGCTGGCACCCGCCATTTAGGCCTGAATTTTAGTGGGGATTTTTTTGTCCTGAATTGTGGCAAGAAAACACAGTCATTGCTCTACCAGCATGTCAAACTTGTGGCCAGTGGGCCGCATGCCTCATTTATTTAAACAAGGCATGGGGCCCTCCGGCCGCGAGTTTGACATGCTTGCTTGAAGAAGCACTATACATCCTTGAACATAAGTGGGGGTTGCTATTTTTTGGAGACAGGTTGCACCCCACTTCCAGCAATCAACCACCTAATAATAAGAAAGATTATCTTCAGATACCAGGACGCGTTAGCATTGCACTCTCATCAAAAGGATGTGTTCCTCTCCAGCCGCAGCTGCTGTTGTAATTCGCAACAGACACTAAGGAACAAGACAGCTGTGCAGCTATTCCAGGGCCACTCAGTGGCAGAGTTCTGGTTATTCACGCAGCCCAAGGCCCCGAAGAGGTGCTATCAGACAGCCCGAGTTAGAGGGAGAGGCCTGCCCCCACCTCAGTTTTCTTCATGCTCCTATAAAAGAACTTAAATGAGGGACTCTAGATGATGGAGTTGTGATAAAGCTAATTTATTAAAGCATGCACATTTATCACAGAAGCTAGGCTAGCAAACCTATCCATCTGGCTTATGCAGCGCAGACGGGTGCTCAGCTAATCTGCAGAGCAGGTCAGGTGGGGGTTGGGGGCGTTATGTACCCTCCTGGCTATAGGTTTCAGAATTCCCTGCTGCATATGTTGGTGCAGATTGATTCTCAAGGTTCCTTATTACTTTGTGTGGCCTTCCCAGGACACATGAGATGTGTCTGCGCTTTATCTTGCCCAGCCTTGAGGATGCTGGCTTCTCTGCTTAGTAGAAGAAATGAAACTGCCTTTCTCCTTTCTCCTCCCCTTCCTGTCTGCATTCTCTCCTGAGGGAGGCTCTAACCATTTGCTCGGGAGTGTGAGTGAGTGTGCTTGGCTGGGGAAGATAATGGCTTGTTATTTACAAGCTGGCTGCAAATTGCCCACAGTTTGGTCTTGTTCTAACTTTCTTGTCTCAACTTCCGTATTCCTCCTGCCCTGGCATGTTCCTAGCTTCTCACTGCCCTGCAGCAGAGCCTGGGCCATGTGGCACCTGTGCTTTTTAGAAGACCAGGGTCCTGAGTCCCCCTCCAGAGCCTCCATGGAGAGAAAGGGCAGGAGGGCAGGGGGCTCAGAAGCAGTGGCCTCACAGGTGCCCCAGCAGGACAGGGAGTGGCCACAGGTCGGAAGACGGCCCCCTTGTGTCCTGGAGCAGAAGGCAGCATTCCAGCATGGGCCTGGGAGGAGCCCAAGTCCTGCTGGCAGCCACCATGGTGGGCAGGTGGCCCGCCATCGGCTGTGGGTGGATGGCCTCCCAGTAGTGGAGAGAGTAATGGGGAGGGTGCACAGCATCCGGGAACCGAGGGACCAGCCAGGTGAGGGCGGAGGGAACAGACAGGATTTACCAGCCTTGACCCCAGGGGCAGGCTAGAGGCTTATGAGGAAGCACAGATCAATGGTAAAACAGAGGAAGCCATTAGTTGTTTGTGCATGTTCAGGGTGGCATGTAGGTGATTGTCGATCCCATGAGCTCTGTGGAACCAACACGTCAGAAAAGAACCTCAGCATTGGAGCCACATAGGCTGCTGCTAAGTTGCCATAACATCTCCTGTGAGGGGAGGAGTGTTTCCTTGGTACAAGATGAAACTAAATGCCCATGTCCCTGAGGCTGGGGAAGAATTCAATGAGAAAAGAATTGAAGGATCACTGAAGTGGTCCCAGGAGTCTGACCCCTCCTCCTATTATAAATTCACCTGGAATTTGCTAAGCAAATGAGGGAGCATCATTGCAGGGCCAGGAACGCCCCTGGGGAGAGGAGTGGTGGCCCAGAGTGAAGGGAGGGACCAGCTTAAGGTGCTGGTGTAAGGGGAGGAGCTTCAGGCAGTTTCCTAATTAGAAACCAGAAATTTGACTGGAAACCGTCTCCTTCCTGGCACTCCCCTGTGCGAGTTAGGTGAGCCTCTAAGACATTTTCTCAGGAGGCTGCCAAGTGTCAAATCATCTTTGGAAATTATTCAACACCTCAAGCTTGATTATTTTTGTACCCAAACTGCATATGCTTAAAACTAACAGATGTTCCTATTAAAAATGCTTCTCATTTTTACCTCTCTCAGCTCAACATGAGATTTTAAATATTCTAAAGAGTCAAAGACATTTCTTCCTTTTTAAAATTAAGACATCCACAGCCATCTGTCTTTGAAATGTTAAGAAAGCAGGTGAAAATCCGAGAGCAGGGATTGTCTTTGGGGAGTGGGGTTTGGGGTAGAACTTTCACTTTATACCCTATGTTTTTAAATTACTGCAGGCAGAGGTTGCTGAAGTAATTTTTATAAGCATTTAAAAGCAGGTGGGATTCTGACATCTGAATCCATCCTTCCCGCCAAGCATGCTATCCCAGGAACACCCGCGGATCTGAGAACAGGGTGTGTGGTTGTGCAGGGAATGGAAGCCAAGAGAGCCAGTCCTTCTGCTCTTAGCTCTCAGTGCCCTTATGATTCTGTTCTGTGTTGAGAGGCTGGCATCTATTTCTCTGACTCAATAGCTGAGTGGCTGAGGGTCCGCAAAATTACTCAAGCCCTGGACCTTGGAGCAGACGAGTACCTCTCTTTAGTAGCCAGTCCCTCCTACTGTCTCTGCCTTGCAAAGCAATTAGAGTTCAAGTCTGAGTTGGACTGCATTGCTGCCCTGGGCCAGGGCGGGCTTCCTCCCCTCTGACGCTGGTTTGCCAGTACAGAGAGTAGCTGTTTCAGCAGGCAATGGGTGAGTGCAGCCAAAGGTATGCCATCTCCCAGAGGACTTGGTGGTGGCACCCAAGTCACCCAATAAAAGTAAATAAAACAATGGCAATAGTTCTTGATAGGAACCATGGATGTAATTCTAACTGGGAAAGCACCTGTAATGTGCAGTTAGTAAGAATAGCTGCTGCTGGCAGATGCAGCTCAAGACAAGTCCCACCCTCGCCCTACCCTCCTTTCAACAATGGCCGCCCTCAAACCTCTCCTGGGCACCAAGACTGGAGTTGTCTCTGGAAGAACCCCCCCACCCCCTGGTCTTCCTGGCCACACCCTCGCTGAGGCCATGCCCACTCAATGTGGCCATCAAGGCTGGAAATCGCTTGGAAAGGAAACCAGATGGGCTGGGTGACCATCCACGGGACATCGGACCTCAAGCCAGCAGCCCCTTTGTGTGGATGGTTTAAAAATGTTGTAAACACACAGAAGCTTACAGGCTGACTGTCGTGACATCCCCTGGGCCCTGACGGGCTCACTGAGCCGACTGACACTCTTGTCTAAATTGTCCCCTGAGCTCCAGGCAGGAGGCTGCGGAGGGCGCGGCTGCCAGTCCAGGGCAGCATGAGCATCTGGATGGGCTGCTGGGCAGCGGGCCTGGAGGCTTGAACCAGATGCCGCCGTGTCCCCCGCGCCTGTGGGCCCAGCGGAGCCTGCTCTTGGTTAGAAGGGCACACAGGAGGGTGAAGGAGAGAAGGACATGCGAGCACAAGGGGAAGCACTCTGTGGATCTGCACTGCGGCCCCACCAAGAAAGCCCGAGGCCAGCAGGCGCCTTCCGCGCCCCGGGGCCAAGCACTCAGCCTGGCGCGGGGAGGGGGCCACGGAGTCTCGGGACGCCCGCAGCAGACCCTCCTCACACCGGTTCCTCACCGGACTGCGAGGAAGGCAGCCCTGTGCCCCCTGCCGCGGGGATGCAGGCAGCACAGGCTCCGCCGCCGCTGCGTGTGGCAGTGCAGAACCCACCCGGCTCTCTGACTCCCACATTCCCCCAGGGCGTTACCGGCCTCCTCGGGCCACAGCTCCACAAGGAGCAGGAAGAGCTGTGCGGATGGAATGATCACGGACACTAAAAGTTAATGTTCAACCCAGGGAAGGGGCTCTTCCTGGCGGTTTCCTGCTCTGGCCACTGAGGCCCCGCTGGGCGCTCCCTGGGCTGGGCCACAGCTCTGCTTCCAGCTCACCAGGCTCTCACCTTCTTGAAAAGCTGGTTTCTTCCTTTTGGGAGGGGCTGGCTCTGCTCTTTATGAGAATTCCAAGGTTGCTGCGGCCCTGCCCATTTGGGAACACCTCTCCCGGCACTCGGAGTCCTTGCGAAGGAGTTCCGGGGCTCAGCTGCCTCCCGGACGGACAGGAGGCCCGGCCGCACCATGCGGGCTCTGGTCCTTGGCGGCCTGCTCTGCACGCTGCTCCTCTGCTCCTCCGTCTTCTCCGTGGAAGGTAGGACCGTCCCGGGTGCTGGGCCTGATGGGATGTCAGCACAGGGAAGGCTGGAATCAGGAAACGTTGGAGGGCAGGCCTCTGGCAAGCAGTCCTGGGCCCCAAAGACAGTCTTCCTCCTGAGTCTGTGCAGCCCTTCTACCCCCAGTGTCACACCAAGGTGGCGGGGCGCCTTCGCCATCGTCTCCTCAGCTCTGAGCACACACAGGCGGAGGGAGGGCAGGCTCCCCGCAGACCAGACAGGGACTCCCCGCCAGATCGCTCTGCACCGAGGTCCCGCCTCGCTGGAATTCAGGGCCACTGTGCTGTCCTGTGTCACGCTCGAAGCACAGCGAATGTGTGTTGAGTGAATGAGTAAATTAATTAATAGGTTATCTGAGTCTGAACATCTCCCAGACTCATGCACAGCAGACACTGTGGCAGAAGGCATGAGAGGGCACATGCGTGGGTTTAGAAGTGGGGGCGCTTCTGTGCCTCCTGCCTTCTGCCATCAGATAGCTGAGTATTTTGAGCTTTTTCTCTTGCCTAACTTCTCTAGAAACTGCTACTTTTACTCTTGTTTCAGTGGTTGCGGTTATTTAACATTTATTGGGGTTGGGGATAAAGAAATATGTATAGGGGTGAAAACACCCATCATTTCATGCTGCAAGAATAGCCATGTTCAACATTTTGATTATTTCTTTTCAGTATTGCATGCCAGCATTTTTTGTAGTTGATAAATTCCTGCATGTTTGATGTTGTCTCTTTATTAATCCCTGCATGATTACACTCACCAAACATAGTTATGATTGAAACCCTGGGAACATTTACACCAGAATGTCAGCAACAGTGATCTCTGAGCAAGAAGGTGATAGGAAGCATTTGTTTTCTAAAGTGCCTGCAGGGACAGCGCGTGTCTATGACGTGCAGCCAGGGCCTGGAACCCGCATGCACAGGGCCTGGCAGTGCGGACAGACCTCCGTTTGCCATGTGGAGGCTGCCACTGCGCCTTCAGGAGGATTTAATGACGATGAAGCTCTTTCCCCATAGTTTCCCATCCATTTAGGAATATCTCTGGCAGATTCTCATAACTTGCCATCAAGTGAATGTGCATGATGAATTTACATGCTTAGACATTGAGATGGTTGACAACTTTGCACTATTTTAGGTCTGTGGCAAAGGCATATGTGTACATAACACAATTCCTGTATTTAGGGCACTGTCAGGCTCAGTGGCCATGGTGAGAGCCATGGTGTCGAAAGGCAGAGACACTTTTGAGTGAGTGTTTCTCGGACAACAACACGAGAAACAGATTCTGGGGGCAGAGATTCTCTCCATATGGACTTTATATTCCTAAAAAGTAAATCCCCTCCAGGCCCCTCCTTTACCTGGGCCTCCCAGAGCCCATCCTGAGCTTTCTCAAGCAGCACGTCTGAGCCCTGAGCCGTGAGAGCTAAAGCTCACGCCAGTCATTCCTGCACAGACCAAGCCCAGTGCCCCCTGTGTCCGCCCGCAGGAAGAAGGCACCCACGGCCGCCTGCCAAGCCCTGGAAAGGCAAGCCCTGCTGTTCCCAAGTTCCAGATCCTGCCCTGAGGACCCAGAAAGGTGAGCACCGCACCCCATGGGGCTGCGTCAGCCCCGCCCGAGCCTGAGGTTGGCCTGGTATGGAGGGGCCATAGACAGATAGGATCGCTGCCTCGTGGGGCTTCCCGTCTGTGGGGAAAACTGACCAGCCCAGCCCCAAAGTCACTAAATGAATCATTTTGAACTCAATATGTTCTGTCAAAAGAAAGAACAGGATGCAATTATGAAATGGGGAACAGAGGATGGAGGGAGAGGGTGCAGGCAGGGGGTCTGTGATTGGAGGCCAGAGGGAGGGTGGAGAGGTGCTCATGGAAGCTACCAACCAAGGCAGGGCTGGTCTTGGAGCTGGTGCAGAGGTCGGGCAGATGAGGCTGGCAGGTCAAGAGTCCGGGAAGTACAGGCAGGCAGAAGGCCTGGGCAGTGCTGGGTGGCAGGAGGCGTGCAGTGGGGGAGGCTGCAGGCACCAAGGTCCCAGCCACGCCAGGGGCAGACTGACGCATAGGCGTGGGCTGGCTCGGGTGAGAGGTAGGAGTGCTGGGCCTCTGCTGACCTGTGGTAGGCGGGTCCTAGAGCCTGGGACAAGCACAGGCCTTCAGGGGAAGCTGCAGAGCCTGCCATCAGCCAGGCCTGACACAGAGCCAGGGCCCCTGCCCCTACTCCTCGCAGCCCAAGGTTCCTTGCAGGACCCACAGCCGGCAGCCAGGCCTGACCAGCTCCAAGAGCCTGTGCACCAGAGGGAGCTGAGTGGCTCCGCCTCAGGCCACTCCTCTGAGGAAAGGCATCGCCTCCCGCAGGGGCCGGTAGAGGTACTAGACCTCACACCCTGAGCCCAGGGCGCCCAGCACCCAGGCCAGGTGGAGAGTGAGCTGCTGACAGGCTGCCTGCAGCTCAGCTCCCACCTGAGGCCCAACCAGGCGCAGGAGCCGTGTTTCATGAAAGAAATAAGGCAGAAATCTAGGGAAGAGAAGCAGCATCTACCCCATGCGGAGAGAAGGGCGTGCTCAGACCCTCCTCAGGATGCGCCTGCTTGGAGGCAGGAGGGGAGTTAAGGACGTATGCACAGCACACGCTAGCACATGGCTCCCTCGAAACAGCCGGCTCGTGTTGGACGGGATTCTTTTTAGTGTGTATATTTTTTAAATTCCATTGCAGAAATTTGCAAACAACTTAGAACAAGAAGAGCAAAACAAACATTTCTATTGTGTCCTTATGCAATCTCAGTTAAACCCTGGGAACAACGGGGAAGCATTGTCACTGCTTTACAGATTGGGAAACTGAGCCTGAGGCAGAGCGAGGAGTCCGGTGTGTCCACTCTTCCCACTGCAGCCATGCTTCCCCCAGAGCCGGCTCCCCGCAGCGCATTTATGAAGCCACTTACGTGCCCCAGGGGACCGCGGACTCACCTTCTCAGTCAGCCACCTGCTCCACCTGCTGGCCACCTCGCTCCTCGCTGGGGTCAGTGTAACAGTTGAAGCCGCCTCACTGGCCACGGCCACGGTGGAGCCAGTGGGACGGCCCCGAGTGCCCTCCATGTGCCTGTTGTATCTTGGGAGGAAGTGTGAGCGGGCCCAGGATGGCGGGGTCAGGAGGAGCGAGGTGCACGCTGAGAGCAGAAGCCATGTGTTCTCAGCCAGGCTTGGGGCTAGTGCTGTGTGGCCAGCAGCGGGCTGGGCGTGCTGGCTCTGCTCTCTGTACTGACGGAAGAGTGTCCATGTGCCTATCTTTGGAGAGAGAACATAGCCAGGTGGCCTGGAGGTGGTCCCTGCGCCCCGCGGGCTGTGGCCCATGCGTGGGCATCAGCTGCTCCTCAGCCTCCAGGCTCTCCTGAGCTCTGTTTCCCTGCAGGTGAAGCAGGTGTTGTGTCTTTATTAATCCCTGCATGATTACACTCACCAAACATAGTTATGATTGGAACCCTGGGAGCATTTACACCAGAATGTCAGCAACAGTGATCTCTGAGCAAGAAGGTGATAGGAAGCATTTGTTTTCTAAAGTGCCTGCAGGGACAGCACGTGTCTATGACGTGCAGCCAGGGCCTGGAACCCGCATGCACAGGGCCTGGCAGTGCGGACAGACCTCCGTTTGCCATGTGGAGGCTGCCACTGCGCCTTCAGGAGGATTTAATGACGATGAAGCTCAGGGGAGTAGGGACGGGGATAGGACGTGCCAGGCATAGGACTCTGGGTCAATCCGACAAAATCATCTTCAAAAATCAATGTGCCAAGTGGCGGATTATTGGAGTACACTTACCAATTTACTAAAACAGTCTTTTTCTCAAGTGTTAGAAACGGGCAGCAACCTGTACAGCTGCACTGTCATAGCGCAGTTTTTAAAGCAGGGTTCCACCTGCTGGCCGTGAGCACTGAAGGGCGTCGGGCTTAGGTTGGGGTCTGATGGCAGCTGTTTAAGCCCCACCAGCGGCAAGGCCTCCTTCCCTTGCCCCACCCACCCCTCCCCCCCGCACCCGGAGGCAGTCAGTGAGGAAACTCCTGGGGGCCTCCCTGGGAAGGCCCTCGAGGCTGAGAGCTGGGAGCCCGGGGCCACCGCACTGCTCACAGCCCAGAAAAACCATCACCCTCGTGGCGCTGGGGTGAAGGGGCACAGAGGAGTTCCTCCCACCATGGGATGGGCCCTGTTTTCAGGGAGGGGCCAGACTGCAGACACAAAGGGCCATGAGTGTGACAACTTGCAGATTTCGGCAACTTTGGGTGGTACCATGGGTATAGGAGGGCTCAGTGCAATGGTCCCTGGACGGGGAGGTAGGGAGGGTGGCCAGCCCATGCTGCCCAATTAGAAGGCTCGGATCAGTGGCCTTATTCCCTGTGATTATGTCCATTCGCCAAAGCAACATAGCAAACACTCCCCACTTGGGTGGTCAAACCAGTAAGTGTTTACTATTTTCTGTGAGTCCCAGGTCAACTGGCAGCTCTGCTGTGCTCGCTGTGCTCAGTCACTGCTGATCTTGGCTGGGCTCTCGGTTCTGGGCTCAGTGGTCTTGGATGGTCTCACTCGGGCAACTGGACCTTCCACACAGTCGCTCTCCCTCCAGCAGGCCAACCCACATGGGGCTGCAGGTCTCACCTCTGTGAGTAGAAGCACTTAAGCCTCTTGAGGCCTCAGAACTGGCCCAGCTTCCTCTCCATGTCATCACTTCATGGTTAGCCGATGCCCCGCACCAGCACTCAGCCTCAAGGAGCAGGGAAGCAGACCCCATGTCTTGACGGGAAGCTGCACAGTCACATTGCAAAGAAGGGGTGGAGACTTGTGATCATATTGGCAATCAGTCAACCACAGCATTTGCTGTGGGAGCCAGAGAAGAGAGTGTAGGGGTCGCAGGGTGGGGGTCAGTGGAGGGGAGCAGTGCTCAACCACGGGCCTCCAACAGAAATGCTGGGGGTTTTCACAATGTGAGTCAGCATAGACCTCACCTGTGTGTGGCTGTGATGATCACTGGGAAGACAAGGGCATCTTCACATAGGAACAGATACAGAAGCCATTAGCACTATTTGTGATTGAGACAGGAGGCGTGGATAAACTATGATGACTAAATTTACTTTCTATATAGCTAGTAGTCATATAGCAACTGCTGTGCAGCACTTACATCTGCTAACTCATTTAGGTTGGGGTCAGATGCAGCTCTTTAGGCCCCACCTCCTACTAATCCTAAGAGTTAGGTACTATTACTATGGCCATTTTTACACATGTGGAACCAAAGCACAGAGAGGTTAAGTAACTTGTTGAAGGTCACACAGCTAGTAAGTGGTAAAGCTGGCTCTGCCAAATGACCTGGCTCTAGATTCTATGTTCTTAACCCTCTCACTGCCTTGCATAGTAATAGCCTGGAAACAGAAGGAGAAAAAAAAAGAATAATCCCATTACCATAACTTAATAACCTTCTCATTCGTGTTTCCTTTGTTTTGTCATGCAAAATGCTTGCCTGGTTTTATTTTTTATTGTATATCATTCTTTAATTTTTAAAATTCACATTACATCATAATCATTTTTTTATGTTACAACATAGTCTTCATAATCATAGTGCTTATTACTATTAAATTTTTCCACTATTGGAAACAAAACTCTGAAGAATACCTTAGTGCATGCAGTTTTTTCTTTCTGTGGATTATTCGTCCCATAAATGGGACCCAGCTCTGACACACACGGTGCTGGAAGGTGGTCTGAGGGGCGGGGGCCTGCATGTGGGCAGGGCCTCCACCCGGGCCCTCAGCCTCCATGGACTGTGCTCTTGACAGAGCCAACCAAGCAGCTAAGCCACCTTCTCTCCATCTCCTGCGAGGAAATCGGATTTCTCTCTGTGCCTCGGGGAGGAGGGTAGAGTTTGATTCATGCTTTGATTGTTTTCAAGATTGTGTCTAGAAGTGAATCTTAATTGTGTTTCCCCTCTCTCCACCCCTGGCTTTGCCTGCTGTGTCTGCCCTTTGCTCCTTCCCAGGACACCGTGTGAGGATCTGCAAACCATGCAAGTTCAAGCCAGCGTCCCCCTTCTGGGTGGTGCCCGGGGCGCTCCCACAGGTTTAGTGTCCCCCAGCAAGGCTCAGTTCCTGAGGCGCCCCCGGGTCCCCCCTGGAGCTGGGACTGAGGCACAGGCCCTGGGAGCCTCTGCCCCAGCCACTGGTCTCCTTAAAGACACAGCATCCCTGAGCCACGTTGGATTGTTCTTGCCCTGCCTTTCAGAAAAGCAACAATAAAGAAAGAAGAGCTTGGAATGCTTGCCTTTCTGAGTGTCCTTGGACAAATAACCTAGCACCTCAGGACTCACATCCGCGTCAGAGATATAAAAGCTGATGAGGAAAACTCAAGGCCAGGAAGGCCCCTTATCGCTGTTCCGAAGGCCTCCATTCACCTGCTTCAGCCTTCACTGCTGTGAGCTGGGTGTTGGAAAGCTTCCTCTTGGGCAGCAAGGGCCCTGGGGAAGTTCTAGAATTTCAGATCCTGGTCCCATTGTGCCACCAACCATCAGAGTTACTGTGAACCAGGCTCAGCCCACCTGGCCTCAGCCCCTCCCTTCCCCCCCAGCCCCCCCCGCCCCGGCCCCCGGCCCCTGCAGCGCAGACAGGATTCCCCGGACACATGCAGCGGTGAATCCAGAGCCTTCAGAGCCTGCGGGGTGCAGGGAGCAGGCTCCCCAGGGCAGCTGACTGGCTGCAGAGGCCCCTCCGTTCCACCCCTGCCCAGCCCCTCCACTTGTACCCAAAGGCCCCTGAGGGGTCCTTTCCTATCTTCCCCATGAGCGTCGGCAGGAATCTATAATAATAAAAATGTAATATGCTAATTAGACTGGACAGCCAGGCAGCCTTCCGGACAGCCTTCTGGACAACCTTCCGGACGAAGGCTGGGCTGCAAGGGCCGAGCCCCTGGCATGAATTTCATGCATCGGTCCTCTAGTGAATAATAATCAGACAAATAAGCAAAATGCATGGCGCATCCTTGTTTGGGCAAGTCTGTCAGAGGATGTGAGCCTCAGGGTTCTGCTGAAGAAAAGCCCGTCATCACAGCACACCCAATGCAGAGCGGGGAGAATGAGAACTAGCGACAGCAGCAAGGCCTTCACCAACACCCCAGGATTCAAGTCCCAGTCCTGCCTAGGATTCCTCTTTTCTGTGAAATAAAGAGCACAGGACCTACTTAGAGGGCAGACAGGAGGCTCCAACTAGTAGAGGATGTAAAGTGCCCACAAACAAAGGGTTGGCTCGCGGGGGCAGGGACAGGGTGGGGGGCTTGGTTCAGGGAAGTCGCTGCCTCCCTGCCCCCACCCGGGGGAGTGTTTGTGTCCACTGTGGCTCAGAGGGACAGATGGCCCAGGTCTGAGAGGCTCATCTCTCAGTAAAGCTCCCTTTAATCGGATTCTCCCCACAAGGTGAGCCCCACAGACATGTCAGCCTGCTAGGCCGCCAGGTGCAGGGCTGATGGGAAGAGGTGCTCTGCACAGCCTCGGGGACATGGTCCCAGGGCAGCCAGCAGTCCTTGCTTTGTTTTCCAAGCTTCACTCACAGGCACACGCCTCACGCACTCACTCTCACCCCTCCGGGTCGGCACTGGTCAGGCTGGGAGGCTCTGAGGCTGTGGTGCACCAGGAGGCTGAGGGCTGAGGAGCCAGCACAGTTCCACAGAATGGGGAGCATCACGGGCGGGGCCGGCTGGGAGGTTGGGGAAAGGAGGAGCTGGTGCCTGAGCTGAGTTCTGGGGAAGCTCCAGCTGGGAGAGAAGGTGTCCATCTGTCTGTATGTCTGTTTGAGGTGAAGAAAGGGTGCAGCAAGGGCCAGGCTGGAAAACTTGAGTATTTGAGGAAAATTCAGCAACTGGACAGCAACACCAAGGGACAAAGAGAAAGGGGGGATTCCCTCTGGGGCCCTATGAGCCCCTAGATATGTAGAGTTTATTCTGAGATGAGAAGAGCCAGAGACACTGTGAGCAGAGGAGAATGCAGGCAGGGAGAGGGGCCTGCTGGGATGAAGGCAGGACAGTGGGCCAGGCAGACGGGAGGGGAGACGTGGGCTTGTGGGCTGTGTGGGCAGGGACCATTCCTGGGAGCGCAGGGCTCCCACCGAGAGCTTCCCCGGCAAGGGGACCCTCACCTTCCAGCAATGCCGAGAGCCGGCCCTGCTCCCTCTATTCCCCACTCCTCACACCCTCCAAAACAGGAAAAGAAAAAAATCTCACACAAAATTAAACACCTGTACTCAAGACTCAACCAGGAGGAACAATTCAAAGGCCACGTGCCCGACCACTGAGCCAAGTCCTTCTTTACCCTCAGAAAGCCCCAGGCCTGAGGCCAGCCCTCCGAGGACGCTGGGAAGGGAAGGTCAGACATTAAATGCACAAATAAAAGTGTAACCGGACAACCAAGCGTCCGCTGCCTGTCACTACTTGAGCCAATTCAGTAGAAACCGGGTTGAATCATATGAGCGTTTAGTCCAGTCCTGCCAGCAGCTGGGTGAGCAGCAGGTCGTCCACGAAAATCTGCTCTGCCTGCCCCCCCCCCCCCCCCGGCCCCCCGCTCCCACCCCTGCCACATAAGCCACTGCATATAGAGGTAGAAGGACAAAAGAAAGTAGGCAAAGGGCAAATGGGCAGTTTACAGACACGCCAAGGGCTGGGTCCTCAAAGGGCTGAGTGATATGCAAGGGCTGGGGCTACCTGGGGAACAGCCAAAGGGAGTGCCGGCTCCCACGCAAACAGGTTTCTGCGGAGCTGCAGGAGCTGGAGCACCCCTCCCCTTCCTCGCCACATGGGTTTTAATTGGTGAGTCTGCGGACAATCGTGTGCATAGGGTTTTCAAGGCTCTCAGGGACCCTTTGAGATGACAAGGAAACCCCAAACATCTGAAAGTGACTTTTAGTTAGAAAACTGGACTTCTCAGCTCCCTGATTCCTTGAAGAACTCAGCCATGTTTGCAGTGGTGCCATTAGAGAAAGTGTGCCATCTCCATAGCAACTGAAGGGGCCCATACTCCCTGACTGTGTGGGATCCTGTACTGCTGACAGCTTCAAGCTTCCCAGACAGAATTGGGTTCAAATGATGGCTCACGTCATGTGCCCACTGTGACGTCAGGGGCCTCAGGTTCCCGTCTCTGCAATGAGACTGAGAGCCTCTTGCGGAGAGTAAATCAGACGAGAAATGCCTGGTTCCACAATAAAAGCCAAATGGTCACAGATCTGCTTCCACCAAACAGGGCCCCCGCTCCCTCCAGGCTTCCTGGAGCAGTTCCATTCCCGCCCCTAAAGGGCCTCCTGTTGGCGCCGCACATGTTACAGCCCCATGTGCCGACCCTCTGCTGACTCATCTCCCAGGGTATCTCTGGGCAAACTGTTGAGGGTGCCCTTCATGGGGCAGAGAGGCCACGTCTGGTTTGGTCAGTGCTCCGAGGCCCTGCTGTGGCCCCGGGGACCCTGCAGCACTTCCCTGCCCTGAGAACAGCAGGCAACTCCTGGGACCAGGTGAGCCAGGCTTCGGTTCAGTCAGGGGCTGGCCCTGTGCTTACTAGCAGCCTGGTAGCCTGCGCCAGCTCCAGAGGCAACTGGTAGGCTTGCTATCAGTAGCTCCATCCCTGGAAAGGGTTACTGGCTCATCTGCTATTTAACGTGTCAAACCACACTGCGCCTCTCCGGACCTGCAGAGTGTGAACCAGAGGTGGGAGGTGTCAGGTTATAAGATGTCAGAACTGAAAAGGTCCTTTTCTACATCAAAATGAACCTTTCTGCTCAATTCAGTGATTAAATATGCTGTGGATCTGAACAGGAGTCGAGAGCAGGGGTCTCCACCCCTTGCTATTGGGTGGAGTCAGAGAGACATGCCCTAGACCTGTGGTTCACAAACAATGGAAATACATCCTGCATATCAGATATTTACATTACGATTCATAACAGTAGCAAAATTACAAATATGAAGTGGCAACGAAAATAATTTTATGGTTTGGTCACAACATGAGAAACTTCATTAAAGGGTCATGGCATTAGGAAGGTTGAGAACCAATGCCCTAGAAGGAACTCCTTACAGGGACCTGCCTTAGAGGGACCTGCCCTAGAGGGACCTGCCCTAGAGGGACCTGTCCTAGAGGGACCTGTCCTAGAGGTACCTGTCCCAGAGAGACCTGCTCTAGAGGGACCTGTCCTAGAGGGACCTGTCCTAGAGGGACCTGTTCTAGAGGGACCTGCCCTAGAAGACCTGTCCCAGAGAGCCTGTCCTAGAAGGACCTGCCCTAGAGGGACCTGTCCTAGAGGGACCTGCTCTGAGGGACTTGCCCTAGAGGGACCTGTCCTAGAGGGACCTGCCCTAGAGGGACCTGACCCAGATGGACCTGCTCTATAGGACCTGTCCTAGAGGGACCTGTCTTGAGGGACCTGTCCCAGAGGGACCTGTCCTAGAGGGACCTGTTCTAGAGGGACCTGTCCCAGAGGGACCTGTCCCAGATGGACCTGCTCTAGAGGGACCTGTCCTAAGGGACCTGTCCCAGAGGGACCTGTCCTAGAGGGACCTGTCCTAGAGGGACCTGTTCTAGAGGGACCTGTCCCAGAGGGACCTGCTCTAGAGGGACCTGTCCTAAGGGACCTGTCCCAGAGGGACCTGCTCTAGAGGGACCTGCCCTAGAGGGACCTGCCCTACAGAGACCTGTCCTAGAGGGACCTGCCCTAGAGAGACCTGTCCTAGAGGGACCTGGCCAGAGGGACCTGCCCTAGAGGGACCTGCCCTAGAGGAACCTGTCCCAGAGGGACCTGCTCTAGAGGGACCTGCCCTAGAGCGACCTGTCCCAGAGGGACCTGCCCTAGAGGGACCTGCCCTAGAGAGACCTGCCTTAGAGGGACCTGTCCCAGAGGGACCTGCCCTAAAGAAACCTGTCCTAAAGGGACCTGCCCTAGAGGGACCTGTCCCAGAGGGACCTGCCCTAGAGGGACCTGTCCTAGAGGGACCTGCTCTAGAGGGACCTGCTCTAGAGAGACCTGTCCTAGAGAGACCTTCCCTAGAGGGACCTGTCCTAGAGGGACCTGTTCTTGAGGGACCTGTCCCAGAGGGACCTGCCCTAGAGGGACCTGTCCCAAGGGACCTTCCCTAGAGGGACCTGTCCCAGAGGGATCTGCCCTAGAGGGACCTGCTCTGAGGGACCAGTCCCAGAGGGACCTGCCCTAGAGGGACCTGTCCCAGAGGGACCTGCCCTAGAGGGACCTGTCCCAGAGGGACCTGCCCTAGAGGGACCTGTCCCAGAGGGACCTGCCCTAGAGGGACCTGTCCCAGAGGGACCTGCTCTAGAGGGACCTGTCCCAGAGAGACCTGCTCTAGAGGGACCTGCTCTAGAGGGACCTGCTCTGAGGGAACTGTCCCAGAGGGACCTGCCCTGGAGGGACCTGCCCTAGAGGGACCTGTCCATAGGGACCTGCTCTAGAGGGACCTGCTCTAGAGGGACCTGCCCTAGAGGGACCTGTCCCAAGGGACCTTCCCTAGAGGGACCTGTCCCAGAGGGACCTGCTCTAGAGGGACCTGCTCTGAGGGAACTGTCCCAGAGGGACCTGCCCTGGAGGGACCTGCCCTAGAGGGACCTGTCCATAGGGACCTGCTCTAGAGGGACCTGCTCTAGAGGGACCTGCCCTAGAGGGACCTGTCCCAGAGGGACCTGCTCTAGAGGGACCTGCTCTGAGGGAACTGTCCCAGAGGGACCTGCCCTAGAGGGACCTGTCCCAGAGGGACCTGCCCTAGAGGGACCTGTCCCAGAGTGACCTGCCCTGGAGGGACCTGCCCTAGAGGGACCTGTCCATAGGGACCTGCTCTAGAGGGACCTGCTCTAGAGGGACCTGCCCTAGAGGGACCTGTCCCAGAGGGACCTGCTCTAGAGGGACCTGCTCTGAGGGAACTGTCCCAGAGGGACCTGCCCTAGAGGGACCTGTCCCAGAGGGACCTGCCCTAGAGGGACCTGTCCCAGAGGGACCTGCTCTAGAGGGACCTGCTCTGAGGGAACTGTCCCAGAGGGACCTGCCCTAGAGGGACCTGTCCCAGAGGGACCTGCTCTAGAGGGACCTGCTCTGAGGGAACTGTCCCAGAGGGACCTGCCCTAGAGGGACCTGTCCCAGAGGGACCTGCCCTAGAGGGACCTGTCCCAGAGGGACCTGCTCTAGAGGGACCTGCTCTGAGGGAACTGTCCCAGAGCGACCTGCCCTAGAGGGACCTGGCCCAGAGGGACCTGCCCTGGAGGGACCTGCCCTAGAGGGACCTGTCCATAGGGACCTGCTCTAGAGGGACCTGCTCTAGAAGGACCTGTCCCAGAGCGACCTGCCCTGGAGGGACCTGCTCTAGAGGGACCTGTCCCAGAGGGACCTGCCCTAGAGGGAACTGTCCCAGAGGGACCTGCTCTAGAGGGACCTGCTCTAGAAGGACCTGTCCCAGAGCGACCCGCCCTGGAGGGACCTGCTCTAGAGGGACCTGTCCCAGAGGGACCTGCCCTAGAGGGAACTGTCCCAGAGGGACCTGCCCTAGAGGGAACTGTCCCAGAGGGACCTGCCCTAGAGGGAACTGTCCCAGAGGGACCTGCTCTAGAGGGACCTGTCCCAGAGGGACCTGCCCTAGAGGGAACTGTCCCAGAGGGACCTGCCCTAGAGGGACCTGTCCCAGAGGGACCTGCCCTAGAGGGAACTGTCCCAGAGGGACCTGCCCTAGAGGGAACTGTCCCAGAGGGACCTGCTCTAGAGGGACCTGCCCTAGAGGGAACTGTCCCAGAGGGACCTGCCCTAGAGGGAACTGTCCCAGAGGGACCTGCTCTAGAGGGACCTGCCCTAGAGGGACCTGTCCCAGAGGGACCTGCTCTAGAGGGAGCTGCTCTGAGGGAACTGTCCCAGAGGGACCTGCCCTAGAGGGACCTGTCCCAGAGCGACCTACCCTGGAGGGACTTGCCCTAGAGGGACCTGTCCCAGAGGGACCTGCCCTAGAGCGACCTGTCCCAGAGCGACCTGCCCTGGAGGGACCTGTCCCAGAGCGACCTGCCCTGGAGGGACCTGTCCCAGAGGGACCTGCCCTAGAGGGACCTGCCCTAGAGGGACCTGTCCCAGAGCGACCTGCTCTAGAGGGACCTGTCCCAGAGGGACCTGCCCTAGTGGGACCTGTCCTAGAGGGACCTGCTCTGTGGGACCTGCTCAAGAGGGACCTGTCCTAAGGGACCTGCTCTAGAGGGACCTGTCCCAGAGGGACCTGCCGATTGTCCTTTCACCACAGGTCGAGTGGGAGACTCAAGGAGAAGGAACTCCCATTGTGCAGGTGGTCAGCCTGGGGGACCGGTGACCTGGAGCCTGAGCAGGGTCTGTCTGGATGGGCAAGCTCAGGTCCCACAGCAGGGAGTCCTTCCTTCCAGCTATGACAGAGGAAGCCATCAGGCCCTCTTTACTGTAAGGCCAGAATCAGGCCGTGGTGAGGCCTCCACAAAGAGCTGTTTCCCAGGTCTTGGGGCCTGAGGGTGACTGCTCTGTCCATGCTCCCCAGACCCCTCTGGTTGTGGCATTGAAGGTCCCACATCCGAAAACACCCTCAGTCCCAGGCAAGCTCAGATGGCTAGTCACTCTAGCAGATGTGAGCCTGTGCGATCAAGGGCTTGATCTCTGTAAGAAGACAATATAAACTGCAAATATAAAACTAGTGCTGTGGAAGGGATGTGTGAGCTAGGGGCTCAGCTGAAGACAGCAGCTTCAGTCTTCTCTGCCGTAGGAAGAGCTTCGGCTGTTTTTGAACCTGGCTCTGGGCCTCACTGGCTGTGTGAGCCTCGGCAAGTGACTTACCCTCTCTGTGCTCTAACTTCTCCCTTTCTACAGCAGGGACAGGCATACCAGGAGAGGCTGTGCTGGTCACATGAGATGATGGAGTGACAGTGACAGGCTGGGTGGGCCCCTTCTTTGTCCCTCTCCAGTGCACGTCTGTTGACTGAATGGATGGAGGGGAGAGAAGCCACTTGGTGAGGGGATGGGCCAGGACACCAGCGGGCTCTTCTCGGCCCACTGACAGGGCACTTGTCCGGGAGATCCTGGCCCTGCTTCCAGGCACTGGGGCCCTGCAGAAGGCGGCAGTCCTCGTCGGGAGACACGAAGCTGCCGTATGTCTGTGCAATTTAAAGTGCACCTTCCGGCCCAGGGCCACGCCCACGGGGCTCAGGAGGAGTGAGGATGAGTATGAAACTGCCAAGCTGTCTGGGACCCGATGCACCTTCCCGGCCCCCATCCCGGGCTCTCAGACGGAAGGGCTGGAGTGGCTGCTTCTCCCTGGTGCTCAGAGGACTGGTGATGAGGCCTCAGGAGAGCGGGCCTAGCTGGGGGCGCAGGGCGGGCAGGAGGGGAGACCCCAGAGGCAGCCCACAGCCCCCACCCTCTGCTCTTCCCCAACGCACACCTCCTCTGGGTCTTTCGGTCTCACCCGCAGCCTCGGGGACACTCCCCGGACCCACACGGCTGGCCTGGCCCTCCTGCCTCCTGGGGAGGGAGCGGGAGGCTGGGCTCCAGCGCCCGCTCCTGGCGGCCGGGAAGCGCTGAGCGGGGCCTCCCGCGGGCCCCGGGGCGTGGGGACCGGGAGCCAGGTTTCCCGGGCTCCTCAGGCCCCGCAGCGCGTCTGTCCCCCGGAGGCCGGCGGGCTCGGACCCAGCGCTGCCTTCGTCCCGCCCCCCGCCCCCCGCCCCCCGCCCCCCGCCCCGCCGCTGCGGCCCCGCGCTAATCGGCCTCCCAGCCGGTCACCGCGCAGCGCCCCGCTCCCGCCCGCACCTCTGCTCGTCGCGGGGACATGCGGGCCGCCCTGGCCCTGGCGCTGCTGCGCCTCTGCCTCGGTGAGCGGACGGGAGGGGGCGCGGCCCGGCGGGGACCCCAGCTGCCCGCCGCTTCAGGGCGGGGGTGGGGTGGGGGGGGCGGGGAGAGAGGGCGCAGAGGGCGCCAGGCCCCGTCTGGCTCGGCTCCCAGCCCATTGGGGGGTTTATGTGGCCACTGCCTGAATTCGCGCGCCCCAGAGTCTGTGTCCCTGACAAGCAGACGGGGTGTGGCGAGGAGACCCCCAGCGGGTCCCCCGGTGCCAGGGGTGGGTCAAACCCCGAGGGGGGCAAAGGTGTCCCCTGCTGCCTGGGAGCCACCTGCTCCGTGTTTTCTTCCAGCTAAGGTCAACTTCGCCCCCCACTTCTTCGACAACGGAAACCTGGGCCTGTTCAGCCTCCCGGAGGACACCCCTGTCGGTGAGGAGCCCCCGGCCACGGGGCCTCAGGAGGGGTGGCCCTCCTTCCCCGGACATGGCACCCACCAGGAGCCAGTCCTCCAAGCCTGTGGGGACAGGTGCCAGCTGCCCGGCTCCGGCGCTGACTGTGCCCTGAGTTCCCAGGGCTCTTGCTGAGCTCAAGGCTGCCCTGGGGGCCTGAGCCGGGGTCCGGGAGACGACGGGCACAGACAGACTGGCCCATGATGGTCTCTGCTGGGCCCAGCTGTCCAGGGCCCACTGGCGTGACCTTGAGCACCTGTGCTGACTCCCAGGTCGCAGATCTTTAGGCTTTAAAATGGCCCAAGAGCACCCACCTGCCTGGGCTACACAGAGAGGAGAGGAGGAGGGAGCCTGGCACGTCCTCCCTCGAGTCTGGGCTGGGAAGCCTGAGCAAAAGGACAGCAGAGTGCAAGCCACCTGCTCGCAGGCCCCGAGGAGTGACCTGGGCCTGGGGGCTCTGCTGCTGAGAGCCACTCCTGCCTGAATGGTGCACCACCCCCTCCCCCACCCCACCCCACCCCCACCCTCAGTCTGGGTTCTTGTCTCCAGGCAAGCGGCTGGCCTGGAGCCGCTCAGCCATCTGATAGGAGAGTGGCTGGTGCTCCACCTTCTTCCTCACATCACAGTGGGAAGCAGCCGCGGGGAGGCCGCAGCCCTGCCGCCCAGGCTGGGCCTTTGCTCTGAATCGCATATTCACTGCGTAAACGTAAACGGGGATCCTTGTTCTGAGCTGCTGCCACTGTTAAGAAAAGTTGGGCACTAGATTCCAGGCCTCCTGTGTCGCCTTCCAGGCTCTCACGTGTACACTCTGAATGGGACAGACCCTGAGGGCGAGCCTGTGTCCTACCACATCAGCTTTGACCCCAGCACTAGAAGCGTCTTTTCTGTTGACCCCAATTTTGGTAACATCACCCTGATCGAAGAGCTGGACCGAGAGGTATGGGGAGGTGTGTGGGTGCAGCCTGTTGGCATGGAGACCAGCATCTGTGGTGAAAGGCCCCCCGAGATGGTCCTTGGAGAGGTCCTATAAGCCACAAAAACTCAGGCTGACCAGGACTGGTTGCATGGTCTAGGGGTGGGTCTGAGTTTGGTAGAACTCTACCCTCTGTACCCTCGAACCTGCAGTGACAGGGCAGGGCCTCCACACCAGCTGGCGGGCCTGGCTGTCATCCACAGAACCTGACCTGTCCGTGGGCTCCTGCCAGCTCAGGTCGGATGCAGCCACCACCAGCCCTGGGCCAGGGAGAGAGAGAAACCTCAACACCCTTCCCCCCTGAAGTCCCACTGAGTCTTGGGGAGTGTGAGACACCACAGACCTGGCCCTCTGCAGCCTGTGGGCTGGGGAGAGGCTTGGGGGAGGCCAGTGGAGTGAAAGGAAAGGGAGAAAGGAATAAAACCTTCTTCCTGGGACCCGGCACTGCGTCTCCCCTGGGACCCGGCAGTGTGTCTCGGCGCTCTAGCTGGGGAACGTTTTCTGCTGGCTCCTCGGCAGTCCCTCTGGGTTAGGAGAACCCGTGTGCAGAGCCCTGAAAGAAAGTGTGGCCAGAGGCAACTTTGGGACACCCAGCCCTGCTCCAGCCTCTCTCAGGGGAGCAGGGAGGGCCCCCCAGTCTCGGCCTCTAGGGTGTGTATCTTCTGGACACTCAGTCCTTGTGCTTCGCAGAGGGAGGATGAGATCGAAGCCATCATCAGCATTTCTGACGGCCTGAACCTGGTGAGCAGACACGGGGGCCAGCTCCTGGCAGCCCGCAGCCTGGGCCTGAGCAGTTTCCCCTTCCCACCTCCCAGAGGGGGGACTCCCTGCAGTCCTGCCCCGTGTGCCCCCAGGAGTGGCTGTAGGAGAGGCTGCAGGGAGGGAGGCCGGTGGGAAGGGGCAGGGAGGGAGAGAGCCAGGCTCTTCAGTGTCTCCTGGAGCCTTTCCCATCTGCCTCCTCCACCTGTTCTTGGCTCTGCCACCTGTCACCCACGCAGAATTCCTGGGCCCCCGAACCCGCTTCTCCTTTCCTCCTTCCCCACAGCCACACTCTCCCAGCCCCCACCACGCTGCTTCCCCCAGTCACAGGGGCTTCCTGCCTGCAGGCTCCCAGCCCCCCCCTCAGAGCTGGGCCAGGGCCATCTAGAACCCAGGCCTGGCCAGGACCTGCTCAAGAGCACTAGCAGCTGCCCCACCCCCAGGAGAAAACCCAAGCTGCAGCCTGGCGTTCAGGGCCTCCCCGTTGGGCACCCTTGGCCTCGTCCCCCCTTCCACATTCTCCCCACCAACATCAGCCACATCTACTGTGTTCTCTGAGCTCACCAGGTCCCTCCTCCTGCGTTGGCATGTGGTGTTCCTTCCCTCTCGTCCTCTCACCTGACACACTGCTGCGGAGCTTACCTCCCCCTCCGCAGCGAGGCGCCCTGCTACCCACCCCCAGGCTGGTTAGATGCCTCTCTGGGCCCCTGACCACAGCCTCCTGCACTGTGCACCCGGCCCTCAGGAGGCACTGACCTGGGCAAGGTGAGCGTGGTGTCCGGGGTCAGGCCTGCACTCGGGCAGCACCCGGCATGCCACTGCCATCACCGAGTGTATCACCACCTTCTTTTACATGCTGGCCTTGGCCCTGCCATCTCATTTTGCAAAATACACACCATCAGAGTGTATCTTCTGCCTCTGAGATAGAACACAGTGCTTGGCACCCAATAGTTGCTTAATAATAATGTTGCATGAATGAATAAAAGAAGGAAGGAAGAAGGGAGGGGGAATAGAGGGAGGGAGGGAGATGGGTAGAGACATATACCTGGGGCACTAGGGGCCACTGTCCCTTTATCACCCAGAAGGCCTCACTGCCCCAATTCCTGTCCCATTTGCCCCTCCCTAGGTGGCAGAGAAAGTCGTGATCCTGGTGACTGATGTCAACGACGAGGCACCCAGGTTCCTCCAGGAGCTGTACACTGTCCAGATTCCTGAGGTGAACTTGGGCCCAAGGCAGGGCCCATGCATTCCTGCCCCAGTCCCTGCCTGCCCTTTGGGGCTGCTGTGGCCTGGCCCAGGGGCCCTGGCACTGAGTCAGGGGCCTCCCATCACTCACTGCCTCTGGGGCCTCCCTCGCACGCCCCCCCCCCCCCCACACACACACTGCCATTCCTCACACATGCATTCCCCACAAAGGACTGTTCGCTTACCATTTTCCAAATCATAATGTATGTTTATTGTGGAAATGTGAAATAAGTAGAAAAGTAAAGAGAAAAGAAGTTTCCATTAACACTAGCCAGAAAATAGACACAATGCATTCGTTTTGGTGGGTTAAGAAAAAACGAACTGTAAGTTTCATCAAATCTGAATAAATATTCACTTATGGGATGTTCCAGATGACTTCTCAACCATTCCTACTGGCAAGGTGGCAAGGCATTTCCTTAGACTTTGTTCTTACACGTTTTTACAAAATTCAGAATCAGTTTTTGATCATTCTACATTTAGATATTTTTATCTTTAGAAAGTTTTGTTAGATAATACAAAATTGCTATTCTCACTCTAAAAAAAAAAAAAAAAGAAAGAAAGAAAAAGTTTCCAGACCAACCCAAGCCCCTCTAGGTTGAGACTGCATTGTTAAATTTTGGTGTATTTCTTTCCAGCTGTTTTTGTGATTATTGGATTTATTTTCTGTGTGTTTTAGGTAATTGGGGCTATACTAAGCATGCTTTCTGTATACTTTTTTTCCATTTAATTCATAAGCATTCCCCCCCTTACTTTTAAAGTTTGCATAATTACCATTTTACTAGTGTCTGTTAAGTGAACATTGCACCATTTATGGAACTGTTCCTTTATGTTTAGACTAGAGGCCTGGTGCACAAAATTTGTGCACTGGGGGGGAGGGGTCACCTTGGCCTGTGCCCTCTTGCAGTCCGGGAGCCCTCGGGGGATGTCCAACTGCCCTGGAGGTGGGAGAGGCTCCTGCCACCACGGCTGCGCTCACCAGCCTGGTTTCTGATGCACTAACCACCAGGGGGCAGCTTCTGCATTGAGTGTCTGCCTCCTGGTAGTCAGTGGGCATCATAGTGACTGGTCATTCTGCCATTCAGTCTATTTGCATATTAGCCTTTTATTATATAGGATATTTAAGATACTTTAAATTTTTTCTGTAAGAAACATCAAATTCTGAACATAACAGTTCTTTTTCTCTATTAGAATAATTTCCTAAAGATACAGACCAAGATTTGGAATTGTTAGGTTGGAGAGTGAATGCCTGAGTGTTGTTGCTTCTTCAGGGTGAGGGAGCTGTGCTTTCCTGATGGGGGTGATGTGGGCGAGGTGTCTCCCTAGACCTGCCACACTCAGACTTTCACATATTTAAGTGTTCGCTTCAGTGGGAGAAAGATATTTTATTTTGGTTTTCAATTGTATGGATTTTATTCCTGGTCATGTTAATTATGCCCATGTTTATTAACCCTTTTCTCAGTTCATATTTAAGCAGTTTATCTCCTTGGAGTCTTAGTTTTCCTCTTTCTCAGAGGCTGTGCTGGGGGCTGGAGTGGGGGTCTGCTTGCTCCTCCCTTTCTCCTCCTTCTCTCCACCCCCCAACCCCCCTGATGTGCCCCTGCCCAGGGCTCCTGGGTTCATCACCCCCTTCCCACCTCTTCTTAGCCCTTCACTCTCCTGACCCACTTTTCCATGACCCTCCGCACCCCAGCTCCCTGGCATCCTGCCCCTGTCCCAGGCCTAACCCCTGTGGCACCCCTCAGGACACACCTGCTGGGAGCAGTATCTTTGAGGTTCGTGCTGTGGACAAGGACACGGGCTCTGGAGGAAGTGTCACCTACTCCCTGCAGGTGAGCAGGGCACACACGTGTGTGTACCAGGGGCTGGGCTGGCGGGGACCAATGGCTGACCCTCCATCACCAGGCCTTAGGTCAGTGCCTCTACTAGTCCCCAAATTGTCAGAAATGACACATCAGATCCTATGGATTCAGTAAATGCAGGGGGCGAACAGACAGGTGAGCACATGAGGGGCTGGGCGGAGGCTGTCTGCCCCAGACTCCCCCCTCCCACCTTACTCTGAGTTGGTTGATCTCCAAGACTCGTAGTTTTCCCCCAAAACCCTTCCCTAGGAGAAGCCTGGGCACTTAGTACCCCCTCACCTGCCCCCCTGCCCCCCCGGAAGAAAGCTCCTGCGCCTGGAGCTGCCAGTAGGAAAGGGCAGAGGGCAGCTCTTGGCTGTGAACCCCAACCTGTCCGTCCGTCCATCCATCCATCTCTCCATGTTGACTCACTTTCTCTTACAATTTTCCAGGCAACACAGCTTGGTGGTTAAACACAGGTTAGAGGGAATCTCTTGGGATCCGCAGGTGCTGGAGAAATCTAACCATTTCCCACTCGCGGGCCTTCCAACATCCCTGATGCTCCCAGCTCACCCCTCGCGTGTGAGGTGGGGAGATGGAAGCACCCTCACTGGCTGCTGTGCGGATTAAATCCTCATAAAGTCCCACAACAGCTCCCAACACGGAGGCCCCTCTCTCAGACGGGATCGTCTCCTGGACCCTCGCCCACCCCAGGCGCTGCCTGGGACTGGCCCCCACGCTCAGCTGGTCGGGTTTGAAGACCCCACCTCTCTAGGGGGGCTCTGTGCTGACACCCCCCCTGCTGGGACCTGCAGGCCAGGTGCACCAGCTGTTGCCCAGATGAGCTAAGGCCTCTGGAAGGGCCCCTCTTGGTTCTGACTGAGGGAGGAGCAGGGGGAACCCAGAGCCCTGTCAAGGGGGACCTGGAGGCGAGAAGGCTGAACTCCCAGCCGAGGCTGGGGTCCCTGGGACCCAGGACAGCGCAGGCCCTTCCTGAAGCAGAGCCGGCACCCTAGGCCTGCCGGTGCCCCCGAGACCAAGCGGACCCTCACCCCTGCAGAACACGCCGGCCACCCAGTTCACTGTGGACCGCCTCAGCGGCGTGCTGCGCCTCCGGGCAGGGTCCGCCCTGGACTACGAGAAGGCCCGGGCCCACTTCGTCACTGTGGTTGCCCAGGTACCAGGGAGGAAGGGGGCATGCAGCCCTTCCCCAGACTTTGCCAGGGAAGCTGCACTCGATGGCAGCGGGGTTCATCCTACAGCAGACCGGCAGTTTGGAGAGCAGGTGTCTGGGTTGGGAAGGGGGCCGGGTGTAGCTGCAATGTCTGCTGAGTGGACTCCACACAGACATGGACGTATGCTCCAGGGCTGCTGGAGGCTGTGGGCTGTCGTGCTGTCCCCTCTGGGGGACAGACAGGCCAGGTCCCCTCCATAGGCCTGGAGACTCACATCTCCCCCCCTCCCAGGCCTGCACCCCCCTCAGGCCTTCTCAACCCCAGGCTGACCCCCCAGGCCCACTCACCCCCCCAGGCTCATCCCCCCAGGCTCACCTCCCAGGCTCACCTCCCAGGCCCATTCACCCCCCAGGCCTGCTCACCCCCAAGCTCACCTCCCAGGCCTGCTCACCCCCCAGGCCCGCTCACCCCCAGGCCCCCTCACCTCCCAGGCCTGCTCACCCCCCAGGCCTGCTCACCCCCAAGCTCACCTTCCAGGCCTGCTCACCCCCCAGGCCTTCTCACCAGCAAGCTCACCTTCCAGGCCTGCTCACCCCCAGGCTCACCCCCCAGGCCTGCTCACCCCCAGGCTCACCTCCCAGGCCTGCTCACCTGGCCTTCCTCTGTGTGACCAGTTACCTCTTGGGGCCTCGGTGTCCTGTCAGCCTGTCCCTGAGGCCTCAGTCCTCATGTCCAATGTGTGGTGTGGGGCCTGCAGCTCCGCAGGGGCTCAGAGCAGCTGCTTTTCCCCAGGGACGACCGGCCTCCCAGGCCCTGCACTCAGGTCCCCAGGAAGGCCCCCCGCCCGCCCCTGCCGGGTATGAGAGCAGGTCACTCCGTCAGCTGGGCTCTCCCCCCAGCAGGGCCCAGTCAGACTCTAGTGGGTCCAGGAGGGGCTGAGGGTGGTTCCTGGCTGGAGGGGGTGTGTGACTCCCTCCTTTGCCACTGTCCAACGTGACCTCCCTGGAGAGAGAACTCTTTTGAGAGCCAGACACAGCCAAGCCTCAGGCATCGTCTCATCCCCAGCACTCTCCGAGAGAGGGACTATCTTGGGGGCGGGGGGGGGGGGGGGGCAGGAGCAAACAGCACTCAGAGGGCAGCTCCCCCACGCCAGAGGCAGGAACCCATGCCACCGAGTCTGTCAGCCCGGAGCCCAGCCTCTCTGCTCCCGGTTCCTCCCCAGGACGGCGGCGGGCAGCTGAGGGGTGCAGCTGCGGTGTTCTCGGCCACCACCACGGTCACGGTCAGTGTGGAGGACGTACAGGATGTGGGCCCCGTGTTTGTGGGCACTCCCTTCCGCGGCTGCGTGTACGAGGACACCATTCCAGTGGGTGACTGCCTCCCCCTCTTGGTCCCCCCCATCCCCCCACCCCCCACTCTGCTCCTGAGGCCCTGGGTCCTGTGGAGGCACTGAGCTCCCCCCGGGCCTCGCAGGCTCAGGGCAACAGGTGTGTTTGCCTCTGGAAGCCTAAGGGGAGGAAGCAGGTGCTCCTGTGCGGGCACCAGGGGTGCAAGACTGTGCCAGGCATTCTTCCCTCCCTCACACTCAACTCAGACCCGCCCAGAGGTCGGCCCTGCGAGGCCTGCCAGGAGGCTGGGAGGGAGGTGACAGCCTTGGTTGGGGGTCTTTCCTGCACCTGTGCAGGAGGTGAGGTGCTCCTGTGCCCCCACAGCCCCAGGCCTAGAGCCTGGGCCCCTCAGTTTGCTGCCAAATCACGTGACCCTTGTTGGACATCACACAGGCTCAGCTCCAAGGCCCACCCCAGGCGTCTCCCCACGTGCGGCTCTGATCTCAGTGTTTGGGCTCCTTCTGCCTCTCAGGGGAGGCACCCAAACCCCAGCCTCACAACCGCCCTCCCCGAGCCGTCACCATCCACCCCCCCCCCCCCCCCCCCCGCCCAGCACTGCCTTATCCCTCTGCCTGAAATATGCCCTCGCCCTAAGGCCCTTGCCCCCCTCATATCTGGGTTGAGGGGGGAGCCCCCCTCCCTGCTCCCACGCTATGCACCCCCTCATGGACATGCCCTCCTCCCCAGACCACAGCTCCAGAATTCCAGGGCCGGGGCTTGAGGCCTCCTGTGGGATCGAGCTGCCTGCCCCATCTTCACTTCCCCAGTTTTGGATGATTCTTGACCTTGTAGAGCAACGGAAACCCTTACTGAGGACCATTCCCATGCCAGGCCCAAGCGAAAATGCCCCCCTCCGGCTGGGCGCTGGCAGGAGGGAGGGGGGGAGGGGGGGAAGGGGGGAAGGAGGGAGAAGTGCCAGCCTCCTCCCCACTCCTCCCCGCTGGGACTGGCAGGTGTGGGGGTGTCCTCTGTGCTGCTGAGGAGAGAGCACAGAAGGGGTGCCAGGCCAAGGTCAACAGGGCTTGTCTAGCTGTGCGCCCGGGCCACACCCTCAAACAGCACCCTGATCCTCCCTTTACGTGGGACCCCACTGTGCTGGCCGCTCCCACCAGCCTCCTGCCTCCCCTCTGATACCTCAAAGGCAAAGCATGGGTGAGAAGAGGGGTGAAGCTGGAGGTGGGGACAGGGCTGAGGGCTGAGTGGGGGATGTGGGGAAGGAGGCAAAGTAAGAGACGTGTGGCTGAGAGTCCCTGCAAGGCCAGCGGTCCTGTGAGCTCCCCAGAGAAGAGGGGTCCACAGAGGCTGGAGGCCAGCTCTATCGCTGGGTGAGGCCAGCACCTCCCCTGCCTGATGGGGCAACGTCTGGGGTGGGGCCCCAGCGCCACCCCAGCCTCCAGCCCCTGCTCCTGTTCCCAAGGGCTCTGAGGTGCTGACAGTGGTCGCCATGGATGGAGACAGGGGCAAACCCAACCGCCTTCTCTACAGCCTCGTGAATGGTGAGTCGGGGCACCTTTGGGGACACCACCGTGGCGGCAGCTCTGACCCTGGGCAGCCAGAGCACGTTCCCAGCTCCTGGCGTCCAGTCGCCACGGGCAGAGCCCAGTGCGGAGGGCAGGCTGGCCTCAGTGGGCAGCAGCCCTTGCATGTGGCCTCGGCCCGCCTGGCATTAGGGCCAGTTGCAGGGAGAGAAGCTTTTGGGTGGGGAACTGAGAACAAAGGGTGGGCAGATTCATGTTCCTTTTGTTCCCAGAAAGGGGCCTGGCCCTGAGCCGTCTGCCTGGGGTCAGCCGGCCGGTAGCATGTGGGTTCTTGACTTCATGCAAGAAAGATTTCACAACACAGGCCCAGGCGACTGTGAGGCAACATTTATTAAAGCCGGACGGAAAACCAAGGGTTTCGCATAGAAGACGCAACAGGAGCGCCCGGCTGGGCCGCTGGCTCTCTGGGTGTCAGAGAAAAGGGGGTCTTGGGGTCAGGTGGAGGGGACTAGCCTGGGAGGAGCTGCCACTGCCCATAGTGCCCTGGTTGCAGCCTTGTGGGGTCCCTCAGAGCAGGAGTGCTTGGCTGTGGGGAAGGAGAGGGGGCGGCAATGGCGGCGGCTCCCTGGGGAGAGCGCTGGGTCCTTGGTCTTGGGGGTTATTTCTCTCGCAGGCGGGAATCTGAGGGGAGGCCTGGGGAGGGTTCCAGCAGAACAGTCACCAGTTTCCAGGTGGGCTCCTCCAGGGCTGTGGTGGCCTCCGATGGGTCCGTGCCAGGGCAGGGGTGTCAGGCATCACAGCTGGTCCTGGCGCCGCCCACCTGGTTTGGCGGCTTTTCTGGGCCTGGAGCTGAAATACAGCCGAGGTGTCATCTGTGGGAGATGTTCTCTGCGGGAGGGGCCTGCGGGGACTGCTCTGCCGGGGGCTCAGCCAGGGCCTCGGCGCCCTGCCCCCGCCTGGCTGCGCGGGCCTGCCTCACCCTTACCCTGAGCATATGCTCGACAGGGCGCGGCGACATTCCTTACACTCTTTCAATGCTGTGTTTTTCTAGTACTCTAACAATTTTTGGCCTAGAACATATACTTGGATTAATAAGTTAAATGCATGGTGATATGGCATTTTCCTAGGACTAGCCGTGTATATGGATGGGAAAGCTGAGGCTCAGAGCGCCAGGCAGGCATCCCGAGTTCCCACCAGGTTTGGACCTGAGTCTGTGCTCCTTCTGCAGCAGGCAGCAGCTGAGCAGGTGGGACAGCTCTGGGGGCCACTGAGCCCTCAGGGGCTGGTCCCAGTGGGCAGCCCTCCCTCGGGTCACCACACCTAAGCCTGAGCCCAGCGGCCACGTCCGCAGCTCTCACTCAGACACCCTGCTCCTCCAGCCCCTCCCCGGGATGTATGTGCCTGGATGCACACACCCCCTCAGGCCCTTCCCAGGCCCACAGGCGCGCGACTGCCCACTTCACACCTGCACAACGTGCCATGCTCCCCTCTTTCCTCTCTTCTTGACTCCTCTCCCTCCCCTCCTCCAGTCTCTTTTCTTTCGCTCTCTCCTCTTTTCCTCCCCTCCCCTTCTCTCCTTCTCTTTATCCCTCTGAATCTGTCTTTCGATTTCCAGTGCACAAGCATGCGCATGCGCACACACACGCGCACGCAACGCAGTGCGCGTACACACATGCACACACACACATGCGCGTACACACGTGCACGCGCACACACACAGACACACGCGCACACACACTGTCCCTGAGACAGGCAGGGTGCAAGGCCCTGGGCGCCCAATAGAAGTGAGTTCCAGTCCCCGCGGCCCTTGAGACAGCCCCACTCGGTGGAGGAAACTCTGAGCTTGGCCTAAGGAGCACATGGGACCCTGCCTGGCAAGACTCCTGGGCCCATGCGTGCGGCCAGCACTGCAGGGGCGTCTCCTCCCACAGGGAGTGACGGTGCCTTTGACATTAACGTGACGTCTGGAGCCATCGTGGTCACCCAGAGCCCCGCCCAGCTCCGGAGAGAGGTGTATGAGCTGCACGTCCAGGTACTGGCCTTCCTCGCCCTCTGGCCCCGGAAGGCACCTGAGGCCATGAGCCCTGCCAGGCACTGGAGCCCACTGGGCCTGCCTGGGTTGGGAGGGACGCGGAGGAGGAACAGGGAGGCAGAGCCAGCAGCCGGGCCGATACAGAAGGCCTGCTGGACTGGCAGAAGTGAACCAAGTGCAAATAGGAAGGAGGAGAGTCCACAGAGCATGCGAGGCCCTGGCTGTGAGTGTGGGAGAGCAGAGGAGAGGATGGTGACACCGGGCGTGGCCAGCCGGGACGGGGAGCCGGACCAGGACAGGCACGAGGAGTTTGCTGCGCAGGGAAAGCCAAGTTGAAATATCCCAAATGCAGGCAGGTTTAGGATTTAAGGAGCGTGCACATGAACGGTGGCTGTGAGAGGGAGGGCAGAGATCACCAGAGGATGGCCTGGGAGGAGCCATGGGCGCAGACACAGCTGAGGGGCACCCCCAGCTCAGAGTGAGGAGGGAGCAAGTGAAGGAGCTGCCAGAGGATGGAGGGGACTGCAGAGCAGGCCCTTCGGGGGGAGGGGGGGGGGACACAGAGCTTTCCAGAACGGGAGAGTGCGGAGCGCCTCACCAGTGTGGGGGCAGCGAGTGTCAGGCTGGGATGGCGAGTGGGAGCAGGACATGGAGAGGTGCAGGCGCCAGAGAGAGGAGAGGTAGGAAGTTGCAGGTGGACAGAAGGGTCCTAGGAGGGAAATGTTCGATGGCTAAGACCAGAGCTCATGGAACTAGGGGAAGAGGCTTGAAGGGGCTCACACGGTGTTTGCCACAGGGTTCATGAGGCGCCTGTGGCCTGGGCCCCGCTTGCAGCCTGTACTAGTATCTATTACTGCTTCTCCCCTCCCCCAGCCGCTCCCCCTGGCCCAGGGACCCAGGACAGACCATGGCAGAGCTGGGGTTCGAACCCTCTGGCTGCAAAGGGGGATTCGTGCAGTGAGGTAGAGAGAACACTGACTGCAGAGTCCGACACACCTGCTACTCGGTCGTTGTGACTCCAGGCGCTGCCCCCCTCCCCACCCCCACCTCACCTGGTCAGTGGCTTAGTCACGGCACCGTGTGGTGTCTCCTGTGGCCGTTATAATAGAGCAAACATATCAAACTCAAAGGCTAACACGGGCCAAATAAACAAGGTTTAAGTTTATGTGGCCGCAAAAAAAAGCTTCAATTTTCATAGAACCGTAGGTTTATTTTGACAGAGACATGCTGAATACAAAGGGCTGTAATACTAGTAAATGAGTAATTGTTTACATAAAATAACAGAACATTTTAATAAACATTAATATTTTTTCTTGAACATTAACTTACCAGACACTGAATAACTGCACAAATTAATAAGCGTAACGCAAATAAACCTATTTTTCTTGTTCTCCAAAAGTGAAATATTTCCTGTTGCACACACCCAACAAGTCAGTCCAAGTCTAATGATGTGGCCATCAGCTGCTAAAATATTCGCTGCTAGTGTTAGTGGTGAGAAATGGTGCGCCTTAACATAAGGCACATAAGGGAAATGAATGCAACACAATTGTAGCAATCAGTCATTAGCAAACATTGTAGTTTGTTATTAATAATTGTGTATAACAGGATATTGTAAAAATTAAGTTATGAAATTTTTTAAAAAATATATTTTATTAATTTTTTAGAGAGGAAGGGAGAGGGATAGAGAGTTAGAAACATCGATGAGAGAGAAACATCGATCAGCTGCCTCCTGCACACCCCCCACTGGGGATGTGCCCGCAACCAAGGTACATGCCCTTGACCGGAATCGAACCTGGGACCCTTCAGTCCCCAGGCCAACGCTCTATCCACTGAGCCAAACCAGTTAGGGCTGAAATTTTTATTAAAATGTTTCTTACATACCATTATATTGGCTGGGCCGCAAAAATATTTGTTGTGGGCCGCATGCAGCCCGCGGGCCACGAGTTTGACATGCTTGATGTAGATGATCACAAACCTAGAAGCTTTGAAAAACACATATTCCTTGATCACAGCTTCTGTGGGTCAGGAGTCCAGGCTCAGCTTAGTGGGTCCTCAACTCCAGGCCTCTGGGCCGCCATCTAATCTAATCTCCAGCCCGGACTTGCTCTCACTGGAGGCTCGGAGAGGAGGCCCCTGGGCTCACATGGCTCTGGTCGGATTTCCTTCCTTGTGGGCTGATGGGCTCAGAGATTGGCTGCTTTCTAGCTGTTGGCAGAGGTCGCCCTTAGTCCTGAGACACGGGCTTCTCCGTCGTAGCTGCCTGCTGCCCCGAAGCAGCTGGGAGAGTCTGCCAGCAGACGCTGTTATAACCTCTTGTGATCTAGTCACTGAGTGGTATCTCCTCACCCCCGTCACACCCTACCAGCTGGTGAGTCGCTAGCTAAGGAGAGAGTGAGGGATGACCGCCGCGAGGTGGGGCCATGCAGCCACCTCGGGGTCAGCCTGTCCCAGCACCAGAACACCTGTCCCCATCCCAGGTGACTGAGGTCAGCGCTGCAGGGAGCCCCGCTGCCCAGGCCACGGTCCCCGTCACCATCAGGCTCGTGGACCTCAACAACCACCCACCTACATTCTATGGAGAGAGTGGACCTCAGACCAGGTTCGAGCTGTCCCTGTCCGAGCACCCGCCCCCGGGGGAGATCCTGCGAGGCCTCAAGGTCACTGTCAAAGACTTGGACCAGGTATGTGGCTCTGCCCTCCACCCTGTCTTCCTGAGAATCGCATGGGGCCAGCGCCCCAAACAGGGTCTGCATCAGCCTTCGCTGCTTGTCACAGGGCTTACGGCCACCGTGGGAATGGAACAGGAGAGGGTAACCAAGATAGCGGTGAGAGAGTGGCTAACGAAGACTGATTGGCTAGACATTCATGATCAGTTAAAAAGTTAAAGTCAAACAGAAGCACCGCCTGTCTGCCTGGCCCGGAGGGGTCTGTGAACGTGGCCTGTGGCCTCCTGTGCCAGCGCGGGGTGCGGCCTCGGATCCTTGGGGTCCTCACAGCCTTTAACCCTCCAGACAGGTCGCCTCCCCTTCAGGAAGAAGGAAATCTTGCCTCCAAGGCTGATGTCGGGAGGCTCCTGGCCCAGGGCTGCTGCATGTGAGTTCTGTTCTCATTCACCGTCCTTGTTTCCTCTCCAAACCTCCGCCCAGGGCGCCAATGCCAAGTTCGCCCTGCGGCTGGTGGGGCTGGAGGACGCCTTCCGCGTGGTCCCGCAGACAGCCCTGAAGGAAGCCCAAGTCACAGTCCTCGCAGAGAACTCAGCCGCCATTGACTTTGAGAAGTTCAGAGTGTTAACCTTCCAGGTATGGGAGGCTCTGCGCCATCCCCACGGAGCAGGCAGCCCTGGGTGCATTTCTGAGGCCCCTGTGGCCCCTGCCCCTCCTCGTCCTACTCTCTCTCTCAGTCCCTCTGCCTGGGCTGCTGACTTGGGAGGGAGAAGAAGGTGACATGAGAGCCTCCTCCTGTGGCCACACAGCTTCTCCGAGTCTCAGGCCTGCACAGAGGGCCAAGGGGAGACTGCAGTGGGATGTGCATGTTACTAGGTGGAGAGCCCCGCTGATGTGGCTCAGTGGATAGAGCGTCGGCCTGGGGACTGGAGGATCCCGGGTTTGATTCTGGTCGAGAGCACATGCCTGGGTTGCGGGCTCGATCCCCAGAAGGCATGCAGGCAGCCAATCAATGATTCTCTCACACCATTGATATTTTTATCTTTCTATCCCTCTCCCTTCCTCTCTGAAATCAATAAAAATATATTTAAAAAAATAGGTGGAGAAAGAAACACTACTTGTCACAATGCATCTTCTCATATACATTTGACATCTGTCATCTATTCTGATAAAACTTTAGCAAAACATGAAACATATTCCTTTGTATTTGCAATTATTTAAAACTATAATCATGCCCTAACCAGTTTGGCTCAGTGGCTAGAGCGTCGGCCTGCGGACTGAAAGGTCCCACGTTCGATTCCGGTCAAGGGCATGTACCTTGGTTGCAGTCACATCCCCAGTTGGGGGTGTGCAGGAGGCAGCTGATTGATGTTTCTCTCTCATCGATGTTTCTAACTCTCTATCCCTCTCCCTTCCTCTCTGTAAAAAAATCAATAAAATATATTTAAAAAAAATAAAATAAAACTATAATCATAAACAACACCTATTATACATAAACACGTAAATAATATATATTAATAAAAATAAAAAATACTTTGTTGATATTATTTAAATTATTATAATTACTTATAATTATATATACACATTCAGAGCCAGCATAATTCTTTTTTAAAATATATTTTTATTGATTTCAGAGAGGAAGGAAGAAGGAGAGAGAGACAGAAACATGATGAGTGAGATTCATTGATTGCCTGCCTCCTGCACATCCCACACTGAGGATCGAGTCTACAATCTGGGCATGTGCCCTGACTGGGAATCGAACCATGACCTCCTGGTTCATAGGCCAATGCTCAACCACTGAGCCATGCCGGCCAGGCGAGCCAGCATCATTCTTAAAAGTGGAATTCTAAAAGCATTCTATGAAGCCAGAAACAAAACATGGATGCCTGCTATAACCACTATTCCTGGAATAACATTATTCCTGGATAAAGAAGGGAAATAAGAGGTATAAACATTAGAAAGGAAAAGATAATTTTATCATTTTTTAGGTGATATGATCATTTGTTTAGAAAAACATAAGAGGAATTGAAAAACAGTCAGAAACACAGCAAAGTTGTTAACATGATTGGCTACAAAGTTAACACACACAATTCAGTATTTTCCTACATACAAAAAATAGCAATGGAAACAATAGAATAAAGGTTTTTCTTTCACAAAAACAACTAGCAGAAAAATTTTCTAGGAATTCCTATAACAAGAAATAGGGTACATCTAAATGACAAAAAATGCAAAAATTTAACAGATGAAGAAAACCCTGTTAAAAATGCCAATTCTCCTTAATAAAGAATCCAATGCCACCTCAAGTCTTATCTACAATTTCCTTCAGAGAGGTGGTGAGGGGACTTGACACCATCTGGAGAAATAAATATATAAACACTAGGGGCCCAGTGCATGAATTCGTGCACTTTGAAAGGAACTGTGTGCCTCGAGGCTGCGGTGGGCACAGGGGCGGGTCTCAGCCCATTCTCCATGGCCCTGCCCAGCCCCGATTGCCCCTTGGGAGCAGGGGGAGGTGGAGAAGCCCTCGAGGTGATCAGGGCTGGCTGACGCCATTCACACCCGCTGATGCTGCTGAGTGATTGGGACCAGTGCTGGGCGCGGGCAGTGGGTGCGAGTGCAAGCTGGGCCGCACCAGCAGCAGGTGCAAGCGTCGGTGGGACCGTGGTGTGTGGGAGCAAAGAATTTTCAGTGACCACTAGAGCTGGCCCTGATGACAGTGACCAGCGACCCCGCCTTGATCTGGCACCCCTGCTCACCTGCTCCACCATCCTGCTGCGGCTGCCGCCTGCCATGTTCCGCATTCTGCTGCCTGCTGTCGATGCCCACCATGTTCGGCACATGCCCACCATGTTCCACACGTGCCCCCTGGTGGTCAGCGCATGTCATAGTGACTGGTTGTTCGGTTGTTCCACAGTTCGGTCTATTTGCATATTAGGGTTTTATATATATAGATAGGTGGGAAAACTCAGAAAGAAAGAATGAGGCAGGAATTTGCTCTAACAAATATTATATTATAACATAAAGCACAATAAATTTTAAAATTGGAACTAAAAAGGGATATGCAAATTAGAGGAACAAAAGAAACTGGCAGAAATACCAGTGGGAACTATAAGAAAGCTGGTGGTGCCAGTTGGTGGGGGAGTGATGGAAGCTTTACAGGTGCCCCCTGCAGGTGGCGGCAGGAATAGCGGCCGAGAGTCAGAACTGAGAAGAGGCAGGTGGGCCTGGGCCAGGCTGAGAAGAGGATCAGCACTGACAATCCCTCCCTCTCTCCCTCCCCAGCTCCTGGCGACTGAGGTGGACACGGCCGAGAAATTCAGTGCCACCGCGGATGTGGTGGTCCAGCTGCTGGACTCCAACGACAATGCCCCCCAGTTCACCTCTCCCCACTACGTCGCCAGGGTTCCCGAGGACGCCCCAGGGGGCTCCACCGTGGTGGCCGTCAGGGTGAGTTGGGGACTAGTCCCAGGATGGGATCTGGGTGGGACTCCCAGAAGGAGACCTTATGAAGTCCGACAGGCCCAGGCTGCAGCCTGAGTTGCCGTTCTCAAGAGCCTGCCCTTGGACAGGCCTCCAGCCCTCAGGGAGCCTCCAGGTTTCCTTCTTCACGATGGGCGATAGTCCCAGGACTACAAGGGGACATGAGTGTGAGCCCCAAGCTCAGGCACAGGGCCCGCCTCCTCCCCCTCACTGACGAAGAGGAGGAGGGTACACACCTTGCAGATCTATGCCCTTTGGGACCTCACGTTGGAGACGCCTTGGGCTCTGGGCAGCCTCTGTCAGTTTCCACCCTAGCCGGGCAAACCTCACCCCTACTTTGCCCTTGAAACAACTCCGAGCTGCCACTGTGCCCACACAAGGGGCAGGTGCCGTGGAGCGCTTTCTCTTCCAGGCTGTGGATCTGGACACAGGCCCCTGGGGGGCAGTCACGTATTCCATCTACGGGCCCGGGGCAGACCTGTACGTAGACCCAACCTCAGGCAAGGCCTTGGGCAGGGCCTGGGAGGCTGAGGGCGGACAGGTCTGTGCCAAGTCAGGAGTGAGCGGGGGAGGACAAGACCTGGTTTCGGAGGTGAGCACACAGCAAGGTGTGGAGGGAAGCAGAGACCTGAGGCAAGGTGTGGGGCTGAAGAGGGTAGGCGCCCTGATGGCCGGGAGCTGAGGCCCTGACCTTAGGAGCCGCCAAGTAACTGGCCGGGAGGCTGACAGTGGCAGGAGGGGCATGTCTGCAACTTGGTCCTTCAGTTGGATGTCGGTGGTGGCATAGTGGGTGGACCTGCCTCCCTCAGTGAGACTGCAGGGATAGGGAGCCTTAGAGGAGCTGCATGGCTACAGGCACGCATGTCCGTGTGTGTGTCCATGTGCCCATGTGTGTGTCCACATGTGTCCACATGTGTGCACACATGTGCATAGGCATGTCCTGTGCACACCCTGCCTGTTCTCTGTGCCTGGCAGCTTTCAGGTCCACTCGTCCACGGGGGTCATCTGCACGCAGCCCTGGGCCAGCCTGGATGCCGAGGCCACCGCCAGGTACAGCTTCCATGTAAGAGCAGAGGACACAGGGGGCAGGCATGGCCTGGCCAGGGTGACCGTCTTGCTGCTGGATGTCAATGACCACCCCCCCCAGTTTGGACAGAGCATCCAGGAGAAGACGATGGTGCTGGGGACCCCTGTGAGAATCAAGGTGGGCTTCAGGCAGCTCAGTGCCCCTAAAGCCTTGTTTAGCAGCTGCAAGAGACAGTGTGGCTAAGAATCTATTTTAAAACTAGAGGCCCAGTGCATGAAATTCATGCATGGGGGGGGGGTCCCTCAGCCCAGCCTGTACCCTCTCCAATCCGGGACCCTTCGGAGGATATCCAATTGCCTCTGGCAATCAGGGACCACTGGCTCCTAACCACTCGCCTACCTGTCTGCCTGATCACCCCTAACCCCTCTGCTGCCTGCCTGATCACCCCTAACCACCTCTGCCTGCCTGATTGCCCCCAACTGCTCCCCTGCTGGCCTGATCGCCCCTAACTACCTCTGCCCTGCCCTGCACCTGGGACCCACCCAGGATTCCCTCCTCCAGCTGGTCGCAGGCACCCGGGACCTGGGCTCCCTCCCTCTGGCTGGCCACAGGCACCCAGGACCCAGGCCAGTTTCTCCTGGGCTGGCTGCAGCCTTAGGTGCCCAGGACCGCGGGGTGGGCGGCTTGTCCCTCTTCTGGGCCACAGCCTGGCTGGTCCCCATTCCTCTCTCATGGGCTCATTTGTGCCTGGCTAATCCCTATTCCTCTCTCCCCAGTATTGAGTGTCTGAGCTGTTACAGTGTGATGGTGTGAGGGCGTGATGATGTGAGGGTGTGACGACCATTTGCATATTAGCTCTTTATTATATCGGGTACCATATACTGAGTTCTCACTCTGGGTGAGGGTTTTTAAAGTACCTGCTAGGTCCCTACCCTCACCTCAACCCGGAAATACCCCCAGGAAACAGATGTTATTGCGGCTCCACCAAACAAAGGGTGGAGTCTAAAAACAAACAAACAAAGGCTCCTCCACGGGCTGTGCTGGTGGTGCTGGTCCCACAGCAGGTCTCAAAGCCACGCTTTGCCCCCTGTACAGGCTTCCCCTGAGGAGAAGTGTGGCCTCTGACCCCAAGCCGGGCCTTCAGCTCCCGCCCTCACAGTCTGTCCTCAGACCCACCACCTAGTATCCCAGCTTTTGTTTTTCAACAGCACCTGCTTCCAATAGCTCTGAGCATGATATGGCAGGCACAGGTGGGGGCCCTGGCAGGGCACTGGCTCACAGTGGGGCACACACTCAATTTCTCTCCTGGCTCCAGGCCACTCAGTGGGTCAGGACCTGTCCCATCAGCTCAGCAAGCCCTGTGTGACCGGGCAGCTCAGACGGGACACAGCATTGCCCTGGAAGCCCAGCCGCCCCTCTCCCTGTGCTCAGGCTACAGACCTGGATGCAGAGGCGCCCAACAACCTGGTGGACTACTCCATCATGCACACGGAGCCGGCCAGCGTGTTTGACATCGATGCACGCACAGGAGAGATCCGACTCAAGAGCTCCATCCGCTCCCTGGACGCCCTGCGCAGCATCACACACAACGGGGACTGCACGTGGGCCCTGGAGGTGCAGGCCAAGGACCGCGGCTCCCCATCCTTCAGCACCATGGCCGTCCTCAGGATTGACATCACAGACGCCGAGGTGGGTGTGAAGCTCGGGGGGAAAGGCTTTGAGGGCCTCTCAGGCCTCGCTGCAACATGACCCAGGGAGAGACCATCTCCAGCTGCCTCCAAAAGACTCAATGCTAGGCCGGCTTCTTTGCCATCAAATACACTGGCTTTGGATCAGGTTGAAGTCCTAGTTTCCATACTCACTAATGGTGTGACTCTGGACTTTGCCAGGCCTCCTCTTCCTTTTCTGTAAAATGGGAATAATGCCTCCTTGTCATGGGTGTTGAAAGCAGAAGTGAAATCATTATGTATAGTTCTCAGGTCAGTGTCAGAAAAAAAGTCACTATTTTAGGCGCTCCTGTCACATTTAGGCAGGTGTGGCCCCCATAATCAAAGGTAAATTATATCCTACTCTCTGGGGAACAGAGTCCAGATAATGAGAAGGTCTAGATCTGAGAGAGGGTGTTTGCATCATGCTTCCTCTGGGTGCATTTCCTGGTGAGCTGCATGCATTGTGTGTTGTTCTTTGGGTGCATTTTTCTGGGACGAAGCCCACAGTGCTCATCAGACTCTCAAGGGAGACCTGGTGTCAGTGAATTCAAAACCATTGGACTTCCAGGAGCTCGTGACCCCACTCTGTCCTCCAGGGACCAGCCGGGGCCACTGAGTGAGGTGGCTCTCTCTTTCAGACGCTTCCCCGGAGCCCCATCGACACCTTCCTGATGCAGACCAGAGATGACCCTGCGAAGGCTGTTGGCGTGCTGGCTGGCGCCATGGCCATTACTGTGGCCATCACCGCCCTTGTGTCCGCTGCCACCTTCTGGCGCAGCAAGAAGTCCAACAAGGTCCTGCCAGTGCGGCGTGTGCTTCGCAGGCGGCCCCGCCCTGCCCACATCAAGTGGCTGAAGTGCAGTAGGACCAAGGCTGCAGCCAAGTTCGTTCTCAAAGAGGATCCCCCCAGTGAAAGCTGCAACGGCAGCCTGGGGAGCCCCCCACCCCCCAGAGCCCCAGTGCCCCCTCCTCTACCCAGAGTGGCACCCGGCCCAGGGGCAGCACCCTGGACTGTGCCCACAGTCTCTGGCTCACTCACCTCTCTGCAACCTCAAGGGTCACCCAAACCCAGTGCCTCGGGAAGCCCCATCCAGTCAGCTCTGGTCTCTGAGCTCAGGCAACAGTTTGAGAAGCGTAGAACTGACAAGGTGCACTTTTAGAGTGCAGCCCAGAGCCCCTCGCCCCCACCTTCTCTCCCCCCTGCTCCTTAGGGTCACCCAGTTTTGTATGATGGTGTAACCCCCATATTCAGGGCTCTGGATAACACCGTGGGCAAGGGATTTCCCTGGTTCTGGACGCGATGGGGCAGCACTTCCCATTGCCCTGGCGCTCGCAGCTGCTCTCCGTTCAGCAGAGGCCAGGAATTGACAAGAAGTTGGCTCCCTGTCTCCTACTCACCAGTCCCAGACCCCACAGTCCATGGTTCTCCTAGGGCCTCCGGATCGTCAGGCGAGGAGCAGGGCCTGGCCACCTGTGACAAGGCCATCCAGAACCTGATCCTGAAGTTCCAGCTGAGAACAGGGCAGACAGAGGAGGTCCAGTGCTGGCTGAGGGAGAGCAAATGTGTGGGAAAGGGCAGAGATGCACTGGGAGCACAGTCAGCTGACTGCAAGGCTGTGCTGGGGCTGCTGGGAAGGTGGGGGAAGGGAGGGGCGAAGGTGTTTGGGCAGAGACCGCGGGGCACTCCTGTGCCCACGGAAACCAGGGACACAGGTGTAAAAAGAGCCTTGCAAGAGAGAGAGTGGATGCCCCAGCCAGGGCTTCCCTGAACCCAGAAGTGTTCAAGCTGGAGCCCGAGGCGGGTGGAGGGTCCTAGTGGCCACAGGAAAAGCTTCATGTCCCTCATGAAGGAGCTGCCCCCAGGAGCCGTGAAGAGAGCGGGCAGGTGTCAGGGCTGAGATCTGGGGAGACCTCGCTTCCAGCCGGCTCTTCTCTTCCCTGGTGTAACCGTCTGGAAGCTCAGCCTCTTCCTCGTTTGTGAAATGAAGACAGTGAGTCCCATGGGCCTCACTCAGGTCCAGGGTGGGAATGAAATGAGCAGTGGGGACAGGGCTTCAACAAGTGCAAGCGGCATCCATGGGTTCTCTGCAGGCAGTTCTCGGGGTACAGCTCTTCCAGGAAGTGTCAGGGACCCTTGGCTGCTCTGCCAAGCACCCCAGGAAGAGCTGTGCTGGGCGAGGGTGTTGCCACCGACCAGGCAGCCAGAGCAGGACAGTGGCATTGCCAGATTCCTGCCGCCCCATCACCTCCCGGGGTGGTGGCCCAGCCACCACACGACGCCCGGCAACAGCACAGTGAGTCCAAGCCTCCATCTGTGAGGTGAGAGGCTGCCGGCTCCGGGTCTCCATGGCCCTTTGGGAAGGGACAGGTCTTTGCATGTTGCCCCTCATTAAGAACCTCAAGAATCTGCCTGGCATCTTATTCAAACAGGTGATGTGCACGTGTGGGGTCCTGAGTTCTGAGGAGTTTGGGGCGCTCCTCAGACAGGCCCCTGGCCAGGCTCCTGCAGCCCCTGCCCCCGGAGTAGTGACAGGTGGGCTCTGGGGAGCCAGGGCCCTGACGGACAGATGGTCCTCTGCAGAGTGTCAGGAGGCAATGGGCCCAGGTTGTCTCCCAGGGAGCACAGCAGCCTCCCAGCTCCCTGCAACCACCCTCTTTGTGAAGGTGAATGCCAGGGACCGGCAGCCACGCCTCTGGCTCCTGCTGAGGTTCCTGCTAGTTACTCCAGAGACCACAGCTGAGTGCCTCCGGCCTCCTGGCTCCTCTGGTGGATGGATCCACCCTTCACCCCAGGTCTGACTCTGTGGGTAGCTGCAAATTTTTGTCCAAATTACCATGCGGACTCCTCAGACAGCAGCACGCCTTTAGGGAGGAATGGAATCTAATTATCCTCAGCCGAGCCCAGCAAGCAGGAGCCAGGAGACCTGGCATGGGCGTGGGGACCCGAGGGCGCTGCTGCCCTGGGACAGTGGTCATGAAGGCCTCTGGGCTGCGGACTCTGGGAGAGACAGCTCAGAAACTCTTTTAAAAAATATATTGTTATTGATTTCAGAGAGGAAGGGACAGGGAGAGAGAGAGCATCATCAATGATGAGAGAGAATCATCGATCAGCTGCCTCCTGCATGCCCCACACTGGGGATCAAGCCCACAACCCGGGCATGTGCCCCTACCGGGAATCGAACTGTGACCTCCTGGTTCATAGGTTGACGTTCAACCACTGAGCCACACCGGCGGGGCCAGTCCAGAAATGTGAACCAAGGCAGAGCCAGTCTTGAAAACTGGGCATGGTGGCAGCTCTTGCCCTGGGGAGAAGGGAAGTGCCCAATTGCCAGCATGAGCCACCCTGACAAAGAGAAGGATGGCACCAAGCACTGGGCACACAGTGTGTGGAGGAGACCCGCCTGTGAGAGGCAGGCCAGGCTGCTCCCTCTGCCACGAGGAATTGTGAGGCCACGGACTGCTTGCTCAGTCACACTAAGAGAGGACTACAAACTGGCACAGTGCCAGGCCTCGCGATGAGCTAGAGGGCAGGGTGATAGGCGTGGCGGGCTCAGCCCTCCTGGGCCCTAAGAATGGAGCTTTAGGCCCATGGACCATCGGCAGATGTGACCGAGAACCAGGAGGTCACAGTTCGATTCCCGGTAGGGGCACATGCCCAGGTTGTGGGCTTGATCCCCAGTGTGGGGCATGCAGGAGGCAGCTGATCGATGATTCTCTCTCATCATTGATGATGCGCTCTCTCCCTGTCCCTTCCTCTCTGAAATCAATAACAATATATTTTTTAAAAGAGTTTCTGAGCTGTTTCTCCCAGAGTCCGCAGCCCAGAGGGTGTGCTTCTTCCTGTGGCTGAGCTCCGACTTCCTAATTCTATAAAAGTCAGGAGGCCCTGGGTCTGAATCCTGAGCCTGTCAGGCGTGACTTTGGGCCTCACTTTCCTCGTAAGTACATGGAACGAAGACGTGTTTCCAGGAGGATGACAGGAGCTGCCTACGGAAAGACCGCCTCCAGCTCTGTGCCTGGGGCCAGCCGGAGACCGCTGCTGTTCTTGGTTTTACAGGAGGGACTGAGCGTGATGGTGGTCCCCACGCTGAGCACCAGGTCCTGGGGGTGAGGGTCCCTCATGCATCCTCATCTCCAGGATGTTTCCCTCCACCGCCAGACCCAGGAGAGTCAGCCCCCCTCACACAGAGGCAGCATCTATTGGCAGACAATGAGGCTTCCCCGGGGTCAAGGAGATCGGAGAGATGCCACGTGGAGACGGGCATGTGCCCATGAGAGACCCTGAGGAGGGCACAGGAATAACGGGGAGGGAGGCGGTGCTTTGAAGGGACCAGTTTCCAGAATGAGGTGGTGATGGCCTAAGGGACCCTATTGGTGGTCAACAAAGAAGTGGCTGATTTTGCAGCCAGAGGCGGTGCTGCTGGGTGTCATGAGGCCATGAAATCCTGCAAATGCATCTCTGGCTAAATAAGATCCACTCCCAGCAATTCACCCAGTCAGTCCCTCAATGGCCCCACTTCTGAAGCAGTCATCTGTGCCAGGCCTCTTCCAGGCAAGGAGATGGCGCTCGTAAACCAGAGAAAGACAAGAGAAACACAACTTCTTCCCGTGGGTGCGGGTGCAGAGCCTGGACCAGCAGTGCACATTCTGGAGGCGAGGAGCCTGCACCCCCTCTCTCCTGAGTCAAAGGCATTGGCTTCAAACTGCATAGTCAGAACTCTGAATATTAATTAGAATTAATTAACCAGAACATGTGAAGGATATTAGCATAGATAGCATGTCATCACATATACACTTATACATGTACATACCTATGTGATCCTAATAAGCTCTGATGCTCCAAATGGCCGAGTGTGTATGCTGGGTCACATTCAACACACACACACACACACACACACACACACACACGCACACGCACACACACACGCGCACACACAGCCTGACACATCAAAAATGGTGATAACATTTATTGTGGCGACGTTTACTGAGGACTTATTCTGTGACAGGCATTATTCTGAGAGTTTCACGCGTAAAAACGCATAGAACCACCCAGACAACCCCATGAAGTTGGTAGGAACTATGATTACCTCCACTTTACAGATGAGGAAGTTAAGGCACAGAACAATGCTGTAACTTGACGGATGTTCCAAAGCAAGTACAAAGCAAAGCTAACATTTAAGCTCAAGAAACTGGGTTCCAGCGTCTGCTCTCGCTCCCACTGTTATGTTGCCCATCAATCTGAGGAACACAGATCTTCATGCAAGGATTTTTGCAGGGACATCGAAGGTTCTTAAAGAACAAGATACCCAGGAATCCTCCACAGGCCTTCTCCTTCCCTACGTTTCCACACTCACAGAAGCCGCTGAGCTGCCCAGCATGCAGACATGCTCCTGACCTCAGAGGCAATAGCACAGGTTCTGGTCTTGCTCGAACCATTTTCTTTAAAATTTATCCCAGGAAGTTTCACAGGAACAAACTCTACTATACTGCCTGCATGTATGGATATGTGATTTGTTCAGGTATGAGTATATATGTACATAAAATGTAAAAATATGTGTTCTTAGGTGTGAGGATGGCATTGTTGTCTGTTATAAATAAAACTAGAGTCCTGATGCAGGAAATTTGTGCAAGAGTAGGCCTTCCTTCCCCCGGCTGCCCTCACCGGCTTCCCTCTGGCACCTGCGACCCGGACTTCCCTCACAGCCCTGGCTTCATCTGGAAGGTTGTCCAGAAGGACATCTGATCTAATTAGCATATTATGCTTTTATTATTATAGATAAAATAAAATAAAATAAAATTCAGGTGCTGCAGAGCTTCGTGTTTTCCTTTAAATACTCCAATGTTTGTTGTTTTTTAAAGTTGGAGGTGATGATTAGATGAAAGAAGACTGGAAAATGTTAAGAAATTATTGAAGCTCCCCTGGCCAGTGTTGCTCAGTGATTAGAATGTCAGCCCATGCCCTGAAGGGTCTTGGGTTTGATTCCTGGTCAAGGGCAAGTACATGGGTTGCAGGTTCGATCCCCAGCCCTGGTTGGGGTGTGTGTGAGAGGCAACTAATCAAGTCTCTCTCTCTCACACCGATGTTTCTCTCTCCCTCCTGCCTTCCACACTCTCTCTAAAAATCAATGGAAAGCACGCGCACACACACACACACACACATTATTGAAGCTGACTAAAGGGGTGGATGAGATTCTCTCTACTTGGGATGTGTCAGAGACAGCAGGAGCCTGCTCAGCACTGCTGCTCTGAGTCCATGTGCTCTCAATTCTTCCCGACTGCGCCAGGGCAGGTCCTGCTTGAACCCTACTCACTACACTAACTGCTGGGAACTTAGTCCAAGTTCCTCCTTTGTCCTCTGCTCGCTAGTCACAGGTGGTGGGTCTGAGCCCCCCTGCCTGGGCTGGACCTCCTAGGACGCTGGGTCTCAGACGGAGAAGCCGTGAGAGGCTGTGGGGTATAAGGAGGAGTCTTTATGGCAGAAGCCAGTGGCCACATCGCCATCAGACAGAACAGTCCTCACAGCAATCCCATATAGGCGGCCGAACACCGGCTGGTGAGCACATATCTTTCCTGCACAGTAGTAGAGTCTCTGTAACCCACAGCTATTATCTGAGCAGCCGCACGCTGCCCCAGACTCACCACCTGGCATTGTGGCAGCACCTGAGCTCCAGCTGAGGAGCTGCTCCTGTCTCCCTGCCCAGCACACTGGTGGGATAACCTGGCAGCTGTATCTGACTCCCTGTGATCTCTTACCCTCCCATCGGGCAGTGCCAGCTCTCCTCTCTGCTGCACACATAGGAGCTACATTCTCTGTGCCTACCACCTCTCTTCTCTGAGCTCTCTTACCTCTGCTGTGCTTGGCTGCTCTCTCTAGCACAGTGATGGCGAACCTTTTGAGCTTGGCGTGTCAGCATTTTGAAAAACCCTAACTTAACTCTGCTGCCATGTCACATATAGAAATTTTTTGATATTTGCAACCATAGTAAAACAAAGACTTATATTTTTGATATTTATTTTATATATTTAAATGCCATTTAACAAAGGAAAATCAACCAAAAAAATGAGTTCACCACATGCAATGCAGTGTCATAGGTTCGCCATCACTGCTCTAGCAGCTTCTGGTCGGTAGCCTGTATATTACTCCAGAGACAAAGAAGGTTAGCTGCCAACAGTGACATCAATCATTTGAGTTACAGAAGGGCACAGTGTACCGTGTGTCCTTGCACCCACTCATGGTGTCTTGGCCTTGGGCACCCCGATGAGGTTCATGCTCAGAGTGGCCTTGAAGATCCCGGTGTACTGACAACAAGGCCTCGGTGCTCCCATTGGCCTTGACTATCCAGGGACCCTGGTGTGGTTCCCACAGAATGACTGAAAATTTCCATTAAAAAGGGTTTTTTTTTCTAATGCTTAGAAAAAAGTAAGTGAGAACTTGAAGAAATGAGGGAACAATTACTCTAAATATGAAAGCAGTCTTCAATTTTTTTAAAAAATATATTTTATTGAGTTTTTACAGAGAGGAAGGGAGAGGGATAGAGAGTTAGAAACATCGATGAGAGAGAAACATCAACCAGCTGCCTCCTGCACACTCCCCACTGGGGATGTGCCCCGAACCAAGGTACATGCCCTTGCCCGGAATCGAACCTGGGACCTTTCAGTCCGCAGGCCAACACTCTATCCATGGAGCCAAACCAGTTTCGGCAGTCTTCAATTTTTAAAAATTTGTTTCAACCAACATTGATTTTCCAAATAGTCCAGGTCATGGGTGGGCCCAGCAGCGACAGCCAGACACTGGGTCTCCCCCAGAGGACTGGCAGCCGATGGAAGCGTTGCCCATCCTGCCCGCTCATTGCTTCTTTTCATGGGAGATGTCAATCAAAGAAGGCTAATGGGGCCAGGAGGATGAGAAGGGATGGGTGAGGAAGGTGGGAGGGGAAGACGTTGGTGCGGATGTCACAGGGGCCCG